TAACTTTACTCCACTACATTTATTTTATGGGTTTAGTTACTTTTCAAATCAAGATTGTCTATTATAAAACATGCAACAATATTTTAACATAATGTATCTCTGCTGGACTAACTGTTTGAGGGTCAAAGATGGTCAGAAATGTGTTGTCTACAACCGTGAAATGCTACTTGATGCAATCACATTAATTATATAATAATTTCATATAAAAAGGACCTGATTTCATATGGTAAAATATCACATAAAGCGGAAATGTTTTCTGCACTATGACTACTTTTACTTTAGATACTCTATGTACATTTTGCTGATAATACTTCTCTACTATTACTTAGGTGGGACTTTAGATGTAGGACTTGTAATGTACTTTCCTATTAATGTTTAGGAACGTTAACTTAAGTACAGCATCCGAATACTTCCACCACCAATGTCAGGGTATATGCAGGAATCCTGAAGTCAAATGTAATACCTTTTAAGACCTTTTTTAAGACCCTTTCCATACATTTTAAGACCTCATCGCCACTTGGAGTTTTAACCGGTTACCTTGGCGACACACTTTACCTCACATTGACTATATACAGTATTGATTGTCCTTCCTCCTTATCTTCCAACCATTTGGACGCTAACTTGCATTTCCCCATAACGATGTTGTTTAACAACCGGCGTAAACGGACCTTCGCACGCTATCAAGCAGTGAGCGTGCGATGTCCTGTTCAGATGACGTCAAATCCAACGGGATGCCATAAATAAACTACACAGAATCACACTACACACCTACGCAATGATTACATTCAGGCACACTGTAGAATACAACCTCTTTGGACAATTTATATACTTATTGAAAACAAGCTACAAAATGTAATACCTTGGAAAATGCCGTTTAATACTTTTTAATAGCCTTAATTTTCGCTAAATTGATTTATCAACTTTTAATACTTTTTAAGACCCCGCGGACACCCTGAATGTGCCAGAGTAAACACAACGCTTCAGAAAACCAGCAGAGACACACTGTGACAAAGGGAGTGAGCAAAAAGCCATTAAGTGCGACTTCATGGATAATAAAAATGACAGATTACTGTGACATCTATCAGCTGAGCTCCTGCTCTCACAGCTGGTGAGGCTTCTGAAAAACTGGAGATACCACAAATCACTACCGACAGGAGGACAACAAGGAGATAAAAGGGGGGGGGGGGAATTACATTCACTGATTACAGCCTGCCACACACAAGCTAATGAACTGGTACAAATGCTAAGGCTTCCTAACTGCATCACTGTGATAAAACCCACACACAAGTCACATAAAACCTACAGACATCAGGGAAGCTTGCTCAGTGGATATATTTAAAAAGAAAGTTAAAAACATATCTGTTTACTTTACACCTTAACACCTGCTCTCTGATGCATCTTAAACTGTCCCGTGATGTAGTGTTATTATCCTTATTAACATCATCCCATGGCTCCCATTATTTCGAGTTCTAATCACAATGTGAATTTGCACTATCCTCCTTTTAATGCACTATTATATTATATTATATTACATTTTAATCTATGTCTTTACTCGGTTTATTAAATATTGTCTTTAATTGGTAACTGTATTCTATGTGATATACATTTTCTGTGGTTATTTGTATGTATGTCAATACTCTACTGTGAAACACATTGGACAGCAGTTCTTGTATGAAAGGTGCTATAAAGAAAGCTTATTATTACACTATAAAATGGAGCAGGTAATTAATTTAAACACATTTCTGACAAAAAATGTTTGCGTTTTTTCAACAAAAGCTTTTGGTTTTATAACACATTTTCAGTGTTGTTTGTTTATGAGATGTCAGTTCTCTACTGTGAAGCACTGTATAAAAGGTGCTATACAATAAAAGCTTAATATTATTATGGTCCAACCTGGGGGATGACACACTTTAAGAAGGGAGCAGCTAACACATTTTTGACACATGAATCACGTTTTTCAGCGTTTAATTTACAGACAATTTTGGTTTTATAACATATTTTGAGCGAAGCATTAATATAATGTGTGGTTTTGTCAGTTTAAAGAAACGTTACATTGTCTCTGCTCCAGATAATAGCCAGACTCCGACCGTTGGTACAACCAAACAGACACTGTTCAGTCAACAGTCACAACAAAAACACCAATAAAGGACGTTTTAAAATGCCAAGAGTGAGAAGCTATTAATTCAAAAACATTTTTGACACATGAATAGCGTTTTCAGGGTTTATTTTACACAAGCTTTTGGTTTTATTCGACATTTTGATTGTAGTTTTAAATTAAAACTGTTGTATTCTATGTGATATACATTTTCTGTGACTATTTTATTAGATGTAAATTCTCTACTGTGAAGTGCTGTAAAAAAGCTTATTATTATTATTGTTAGCATTATGATTATTATTATTATTATGGTCCAATCTATCATGTGGATGGTAGACTTTACAAAGGGAGCAGCTAATTAATTTAAACAATGTTTTGACACAGGAATAACGTTTTTCAGCGTTTTATTTTAAAAAGCTTTTGGTTTTATAACACATTTAGAGTATAGTTATAATATTCCGTGTCGTTTTGTCAGTTTAAAGAGACGTTACATTGTCCCTGCTCCAGATAATAGCCAGACTCCGACCGTTACAACAATCTAACGGACACTCAACGGTCGCAGCAGAAACACAACAAATGGAGGTTTTAAAATGAGGTTTAAGGGAGGTCTTAAAGAGGTTTTTCTCACCATGTAGAGGATGAAAGGGAAGCACAGCAGGAACAGCCAGATGTACAGATGTAACGCATTGACGAAGGTGTTTTGATCGGGGTCGTAGTACCATCCTCCGGTGACTGAAGCCCAGACCCCCTGCCTCAGGATCTGCAGAGTCTGAGACCCCATGTTCGGTTATCCCGACCGACGGAACTACCTGGAGGTGACCGGGCTAGTGATCGGTGAACATGGCTGTGTTTTCAGACAGTGGCCTGAGAATCCCCCATGTAGCAGCAGCCATCTTCTCCTAGCTGCCAGCTGGGGCTCTGTTCGGTCCTCCAGCGAGTAGACAGCTATCCCACCACGCCCTGCGAGACGCTTCTTCTTCGTGGTATCCGGGAGTAGAAGAAGAAGAAGCTACGGTCCAAAGCGAAGTCCGCTGGAAGTGCGCCACACATTGAAGCTGATTTATGGAATGGCTATAGTGGCCAAACAGTGGTACTACAATTGCCGTGACCTCATTTTGTCCGAAAAAGACTTTTGTGCAAATGAAAATCTGAGAATGTTTCCCCTAAAAATGTGAGAATCCTGACTTTTTCCTCAGAATACATTTTTTTTATTTATTCTGAAATAAATACATATTTATTTTTCTTCTGAAAATCTCAGAATCTTGACTTTTCCACAGATTTCTGGAAAATATATAATTTGTCTAAAATATGTTTTCTGATCATTTTTTTCCCCTGAAAATCTGAAAAAATAATAATTCTGAAATTACAAATATTTTGTTTTTATCTGCAATTTTTTTCCTGAAAATCTCAGAACTCTCACTTAAAAAAAATATATATATATAAAACATATTTTCTTTTCATTTTCCTGAAAAAATTAAATAAAAAAAATACTGAAATAAAAAAATGCAAATCTCAGAATCCTGACTTTTCTCAGAATTCTGAAAAAAATAGCTTATCTTTTGGAAATAAAAAAATATTAATTTTATTCAGATTTTATTTTTCCAGAAACATTTTTCAGAATCCTGACTGTTTCCCAGACAAAATATATAGATTTTTTTTTCAGAAAATCTAAGAATTCTGACTCAATTCATTTTTTCTGATATATAAAAATATATATATTCAGAATCCTGAGTCCTGACTTTCTCAGAATTCTGAAGTAAAAAAATATGGATATTTTCAGATTTTTTCCCCCCGAAAATCTCATAATTCTGACTGCGCAGCACGAACACTTGTTTTGTCCTTATTTCAATCATTAGGTCAGGGTCTAAAAGTTGTTTAATGCGCTAAAACAGGGATATTATCTCCCCATTCATCTGACTCAGAGCATAGGGCTCTTATCTGACTGAGCCGAGAGCGGTGGACCGGAGGCGGGGCTTAAGGGAAACTAAACTGCGCATGCTCCGTGGGCCCACATACGGGTACTTTTGCTCTTCATGCGCCACGGAGCAGCTCTCATAGGAATGAACCGGAATGAACGGAGTACAAATTATAATATTCACCACTTTTCCACTTTTTTAATGACCGTTTCTTTTCCTTGAATTAATATTTCCTCAATGACGTTTGACTTTACCATGAGTACAATTGCACACGTGAAAAAATCATGAAATAAAACGTGTCTTTAAGGCAATTAGGTTATCTGATCATATATAAACAAAGGGCGCCCACTATTGGTCATACTGTCCCATTTTAAACTCAGATTCTGCTCAATTTATAACCTTTTGTAGTCTTGCATGAAATACAAAATAAAGGAATAAAAGTGACCTAAACCTTTATTATATAATGTTCATTTTCAAGTAGAAAGTTCTGTATCAAAAAACGTACTTAAGTAAAAGTACAAAAGTAGCCTATAAAAGTAAAATTAATTGTCAAAATAAATGTAGAGAAATGGATAGGATAAACTTCTAATATTCAGCATTGCTTAGTTCTCTCACCCTTTTTGTTGCCTGCTTATTTCCCCTAAATTAATATTTGTTTTGTGACATTTTACTTAAACATTACCAGGAAGACAGACAGCAAAAGTGTATACAAATAAAAAGTAACATTTTGGCAATTGAGACTTTGGAGCAAATGGTGACATCTGCGACTTATACTCTCCCATTTAACTACTGGTCATACTGTCCCATTTTAATTTGTCCACATTTTCTGTTAAACTTAGACTTTTTGTAATCTTAGACAAAACCATCAGTGTTGAAAGCACTCACATTCTTAAGAAATACAATATATTTTTAAATTATATTTTGTCCAAATCATAAGGAAAAATCTATAAAAAAAACATGAGAGACAAATACTCAACCAACAAGCCAGGAAACAGTAAGTGATATATTTTAATACAAAAGTATTCCTTACAAAAAACTGATGAAAGTGTCTGAAATCAAAGAGAGGTGACGAGTCAGATAACATGATGCGTTCTGACACATCACCCTGTGTCAGTAAACCAACACTGATGCTGAGGTCAGCTTATCAGCAAGAAAACCTCATCCTTAGTGAATTCTGCTAAATGCCTGCTGACATCAGGCACTCAACCCGTTAGTAGCACAGCTCAACACTCATCACATGCACAGGACTCGTGTTACAGAGTTAACGTAGTTCTGGCACTGAGAGAAGCTGCCTTTTGTTCCGGTGTAGGTACCAGATGTGTTCGGCCTACCAGATCTGTTCGGGGTCCGCTAAGCTTATCAATGACGTCACACATTGGCTGTACAGTAACCCAAGAGGACATTTTACACGGCCGAATTCCGCAAAGAATATTAAAAAATAACAATCGACAGTGAATGTATGTTAGTGGAACTGTGTCAGGAAAGTGAAGTGTTAATTAAGGAATGTTAATGAAGAACTGAAATGCATAAAATAGAAAGTTAATATGTAGCATATCCCTCGGAAATATGGTCTTAGACTTTACTGATGATTTCGAATTTATTGAAACTCCAGACTCAACGTAAGAGCATAAGACACAGTTCCACTAACATACATTCACTGTCGATTGTTAGTTTTTAATATTCTTGGGTTGCCGTACGGCCAATGCGTGACGTCATTGGTAAGCGTAACGGACCCCGAACAGATCTGGGAGGCCGAACACATCTGGTACCTACACCGGTTCATTCTGAGCCCAAACTGATCAAATGAGTAGAGGATCTTGCACATATGGAGAGGAAACAAAAATGCTCCTGAGCTGTGGTTTCAGTTAGTGCTGTACAACTTTCCTTTCTGTATATTCCCAGAGTGATACGAGCATCTCCTCACTGCAGCCTGGCTCTCTTCTCTGGGGGGGGTTTGCTGGGTGGGGCGGGGGCCGAGGACTTGGTGGCCGGTTCCCTCTCTTCTTGTTTAACAGCCTCTGCCGGGGGTTCAGGCTCCTTCTTCACCTCAACTGCAAAATAAAAGCATGAACTAAGAGGAAACTCATGGGTTGTTCCAGCTCCAATTTCACATGAAAATCTAAACATGTACTTTGAAATTAAATCTTAATGTAAAGACAACATTTCCTAGTTATGCACAGACCCAAAGTGAAGTGTAAATATACCACAAACAAAATCAAACTTAGGGCTTTTGACCAAAGAGAAAATCTAAAGCAAAATCATCAATTTGGATAAGGTCAGATCTGGAAGATATTATTTTAATTAAATCAGCTGTCTCTGAATATAACTCTTCACTGCATGAGTTTTTTGAGCACGGTAAAAATGTTGTTTTTGAAATGTTATGAAATATGGATTAAAGGCTAGTGACTTATCCGACCGGCCCACCTCGGTACCGCAAGTAAATACCGCTAGTAAATTGTCGACGGGGGGGGGGGGTGCTAGTGACTTATCCGACCGGCCCACTTCAGTTACGGACCATCGGCATTCGTCCTGAACGTCCCGATGGCCAGTCCGCCCCTGCATTCAATGTTACGCACTGATGTCCACAGACTGATACTTATGTCACTTTGTGATCTGAGTATATACAACAATGTTGAGGTTCATACCTGGAATGGGCTTCTCCCCAGGCTTAGGCTGAAATCACAGGGGAAAACATTAAGTGATTTCAAAAGATAAGACAAAGAAGATTTAACATGAATAATAGAAATATACCAATAGTTATAGTTTTGAGTTGGTGTAACGTGTACCTGGTAGAACGTGGGTGGAAACTTTGACCTGAGGTCCAGCAGCAACGTGTCCACACGATGCCTCTGGAACAGCGAGCTCGCTTCCTCCTTCTTCTTAGTCTTGGGTTTATTTTTCTCTGTAGAAAAGAGTTATCCCATATTCAACATAATAAACATGAACTTCCTATTATAAACATTTCAAGCTTGCAGGGCGCCATAGCTCTGGCTCTTGAAGACTTCCCTATCTGTTGTTTTGAATAGATTTCAAAACAGGAGCTATTTCACTACATTTCTATATCAGGGTATATGCAGGAATCCTGAAGTCAAATGTAAGACCTTTTAAGACCTTTTTTAAAGACCCTTTCCATACATTTTAAGACCTCATCGCCACTTGGAGTTTTAACCGGTTACATTGGCAACACACTTTACCTCACATTGACTATATACAGTATTGATTGTCCTTCCTCCTTATCTTCCAACCATTTGGACGCAGACTTGCATTTCCCCATAACGATGTTGTTTAACAACCGGCGTAAACGGACCTTCGCGCGCTATCAAGCAGTGAGCGTGCGATGTCCTGTTCAGATGAAATCCAACGGGATGCCATAAATAAACTACACAGAATCACACTACACACCTACGCAATGATTACATTCAGGCATACTGTAGAATACAACCCTTTGGACAATTTATATACTTATTGAAAACAAGCTACAAAATGTAATACCTTGGAAAATGCCGTTTAATACTTTTTAATAGCCTTAATTTTCGCTAAATTGATTTATCAACTTGTAATACTTTTTAAGAGCCCGCGGACACCCGGTATATTGTAAATTAACTAAACTAAACCGAACCTCTCTCCTCCTGATCCTTGAAGTGCCACCAGTATCCCTTGGATGGGTGATAGCGGCAGTACGACATGGCCTCATCAAAAGCAGACTGGATTCCATGGACAGCAGAGAGCTGAAACAGAGGGGGTTCATGTTACATCATTTAAATGTTATTAGAATCCATCATGAAAAGCATTTCCAACACTCAGTTCAAAGAGTTCTCACCGCTCTGGAGCTGATAACTGTTCCCAGGTCGGGGGCCTGATACACCACTCCTGCTATGATGTAGTAGTCAGCCAAGGGAATGTCTGGAGGATGGAAAGAGAGGAATTATCTTAAGAAATAAGCTCCAGTGCTATGTTATTTAAATGTATGTACTTATTTTAACAAGAACCATGCATACAAATACATTCATTTCAGAAAAGAGAAGGGATGATTTATGCCAGAGTTGAGCTAATAGCGAATTTCCATCTGCAGTCCTTAGGTTCTTATGTGTGTGTGACAGATTTCTTGTGACAGCCATGAGTATAACAAAAACACAATTCCTTGTATATGTGCGCCAACTTTGAAGTAAACCAGATTCTTGTTCTGAATCTTATATACTATAAGATGTTCTTTTTTCTCTGCCGGACCAATATCAGTAGCGTTCAGATGCTCACCTTGTGTTGGTGACTGCCTCTGCTGTTTCCGGATTATATAAAGGATTGGCTCCTGAGCGTGAAGAAGAATGTACTCCACTCCCACCATCTGGCTGAAATGAGACAGAAACAAATGTTTGCTTGTGGTTGTAGGAGGTCACTGTACTGGAAACATATTTCTGACCTTTAAAACCAAACAATTACATCTGTGTGTTTTTATTGGATTTCGATTCTGCATGATAATTCATTTGCATGCATCTCACAATACACTCAGTAGTCATTGTACTGGTAAAACACTAAGCTCAATGTGACTCTTAAAGGTCCCCTATTATACTGTTTTTCATTACTTTATTATAGGTCTCAGATATATACAGAACATGTCTCTGAAGTGTTTGGCTCCAAACACCAAACAGATCATTGCAGCATTACCCATAATCCCCTCTGTTTCAGCCCTGTTTCAAAAGTGCTGATTCTCTGTCTGTTACTTTAGATGAAAATAAGGAGCCCCTCCCCACGCCCCTCTGAGAGATATTTGGTTACAAAGAACACAGTGGTGCTCTAGGAGGAGATTCAGGTGATAAGGTGGGGGGGGGGGGGGGTTACCTTGGTTGCTGATTGGCTAATGGTTACACAAGCCAAGAAATCGTTATGACATCATAAAGTGGCCAAAATCTGATCAGCTCATTTTCAGACAGGTTTTTATAGAAATGGATCAGGACAAAAAGAGAGAGAATCTTTGTTCCTGAAACTTTCAGAGTCTCTTTCACAGAGGGGACACATGTTGATGAAGAAGAGACATGAAGAAGAGGGGACACATGTTGATGTAGAAGAGACATGAAGAAGAGGGGACACATGTTGATGTAGAAGAGACATGAAGAAGAGGGGACACATGTTGATGTAGAAGAGACATGAAGAAGAGGGGACACATGTTGATGTAGAAGAGACATGAAGAAGAGGGGACACATGTTGATGTAGAAGAGACATGAAGAAGAGGGGACACATGTTGATGTCGAAGAGACATGAAGAAGAGGGGACACATGTTGATGAAGAAGAGACATGAAGAAGGGGATTTTGCATAATAGGTGACCTTTAATTTATGTTTCATTATGTGGAACTATTTTCCAAGTAGCACCAAATTGCAGAGTTTAAGATGAACTTACTTCAGATGTTCCAGAGTGAGCCGCTGCATCTTCACCACCTCGTTGTTACAGGTGCGGTCGTAGAAGGGGTTACTCCTCTCAGAGAAGTAGTCCAGAACATTTCCAGGGTTGAGAATCGGCACCCAGCCGCTGTCCACCCAGGAAATCCCAAGGAGGTTGTCTGCAAATCGATCGAAAAATGTAACTAATGTTTTAAGTCAGTTTAATACAATCACATTGGTTTCATGTGACAGATTATTTCAGGCATGGATGGATCAGGCACCTATGTTATTCATCATAATCACTGCCTCAGGTTATAATGTCCTGCTATGTTTTTAAAAAGTATTTCAAACAGCTTCAATCAGGACTATTACAAAAGGGCTGTGGTCTAAATCACTAATTATATACACCATGTATTTCGTCTGTTTTATTGAAGTTGGTTAGTCAATATTTTAAAAAGGATGCAATTTATGATGCTTCTCTTGCAATAGTGTGAAGATTCATTTCTAGATTCAACTTTTTGTCCATAAATAGTCCGAAAATACTACATTTCCATCACATTGTTATCAAAGTCCATTTTGGTCCCAAAGATATTCACTTTGATATAGAGAGGCGAAGTCCCTCCCTTTCCGGGGGACCTCCATGGGACATTATTTCGGAAAAAATATGTATTGAAGTCAATGGGGAGAGAAAGATTATCTTTCGATCCCGTTTGAATTGTGCCACGAATTACACATATGATGTTTGTCAATTTAAAAGATAATTTTACAAGTCAAAAAAATTAAAATGTGTCGTAAAACTGTGAAGTAACACTTTTTTTGTGTGAAACCGCTCAATGAACTACATCTCCCGTCTCGCACCACACACCAAGACGGCCGTCACGTTGGCACATTTCACTTCTTTCTTTCAGAATGAGGCGGAAAGTATTAAAAGAGGTGAAAATCACTCCAAGTCTGGGCATGTTGAGAGCTGTACATACACACAAGGGGAGTTAGTCGGTTCCGTAAGAGCCAGCATGCGGGACTGGGATTCTGGGATTTGTAGTCTTTCTAGTTGTGTATTTTTCATAGTCTTATATTTCAACAGTTTTACGACAAACTGTGACCTTTTTTGACATGGAAATGATTTTTTAAGATTGACAAACATCATGTGTGTAATTCGTGGCACAATTCAAACGGGATCGAAAGATAATCTTTCTCTCCCCATTGACTTCAATGCATAATATTTCCGAAATAAGGTCCCATGGGTTGGAAGTAGATGGGCGGGACTTAACCTCTCTATGGAGCAAAACAGATAATTAAAGTAGAACATCTCCATATTTGAGTGGCTGAAAGCATTTCTGATACTTTAAACAAACATTTATCAATTGTTGTCAATCTCCCAGTTTTATACCATACTCATGGATAAATTAACCTATACATATATGTGTATTTAATAAATGAGTTATATGTTGTATTACCTAATAAACTAAAAAGTAACTTAAAGCTGTCAAAAGAAGTAAAGAGTACACTATTGTCTTCTGAAATGTAGTGGAGTAGTAGAGTATAAAGTAGCCAAAAGTGTGAATACTCTGGTAAAGTACAAGTACCTCAGAATTGTCCTTAAGTCCAGTACTTGAGTAAATGTACTTAGTTACTTCCCACCTCTGCAAACCGTAATGTTAAACAAATCGGTTTCTGAAAAATGTTCTCCCAACAACATTGCTGGAATTTATATTAATACAATTCGGTTCGTTGCTTTATTAACCATTCATACCCAGCCAGCATTAGCTAAACTAGCCAAAATGCTAAGAAAAGCATAGGAGGAAATGCTAACCGTTGCTAACGATAGCATGTAGCATTTACAAAGATATGTGAAACAACAGGAAATAAACGCAGCAGCTTTTTTTTTAAGGTGTTCCACTAAAACACATGCATTGTTAACTCATTGAATATGACAACAGCGAAGAGGAAATGCTTCTAAATAACTGTATAATAAAGAATAAACTGGAAATGTAGCATCTTTCTTTACCTTTGAAATCCACCGACGCCATGACAGATGTAAACAACAGCCTCACAAAGAGGACGTCATCAGTGTGCATCCGATCGTAGTTGGATGACGTCTTCATCTTTTTTATAATTAGTTAAAATGGAATAAAATGAAGAAATAAAGCAATGGAAATGCCTTTTAATAGAAGAGGAAAATGTGCTTGAACATAATAACAGCATAAATAATAAAACAAATAATAGGCATGTGATGATAGGAGAAAAAAAATCCATTAAAAAATGCATTTTCCTTTTATAAAAGTATAAATATGACAAACATAATTATAATTTGATAAACAGAATAATTTAGGAGAATAACTCAAACTACATAAACATAATTTGATAGCAACAGGAATTTGATAAACTCTTACATTTAATTGTATTAAAGAATTTATTTTTGAGAATTCATTTATTGAAGGATAGCCCCTTGAGATGTAGCATTTCATTTTCGAGGGGGTCCTAAAACATATTATAACATTGTGCATTAGCATATTTATTGGCTGTATATCTGGGTCTCAGTTAAAGGCGACAACACGCAGTTTGAGTATTGCGCAATCCAATGCAACAGCTTTCAGGGTCACGGTTCTTATTTCTGATCTGCAGCATTTGCTCCAGAGAGACCAGATTCCGAAGACACACCCAGACAGCTGAGGGTTCACCACCCTGAGAGTGTGACAGGACATTTTAAGCATGCTCACACACACACACACACACACACACACACACACACACACACACACACACACACACACACGCACACGCACACGCACACACACACACACGCAGTGTTATTGTCACAAATGAGAGGCTGTTTTTTTTCTAAGGGGTAAAAGGGGACGAGCTTATTCATCACCTAGCTTTCTGCTCCCCTTTCAATAACACCATTACCCTGCAGAAACCCCGGTCTGATGACATCAGCCTGTCATTAGTGTGTGTGTGTGTGTGTGTGTGTGTGTGTGTGTGTGTGTGTGTGTGTGTGTGTGTGTGTGCGTGTGTGTGTGCGTGCGTGCGTGTGCGTGTGTGTGTGCGTGTGTGTGGAAGAGGCTGCTGGCTGCTGGGCGAGAGACGACATGCTGGATGATCTTTATCTGATTCATCCGAGTGGAGATGACTGCATTCCTCCGATGATTTCAGATAATAGCGTGAGACTGAGAGAGGAAGGAGGCTGGCAATGGCATTGTTATTGTAAAGCAGCTTTTATGACAGCAAGAATTCAGACTAATTAGGCATTTTTCATATATTCTTCAATTCTATCGGGGTTTATTTGGCTATAATTAATATGAATGCAAGAAAAGGAACATAACATGGTGGAAAGATCTTATTTAAAACTCAGAACTAATGAGAATATCTCCCTTATAGATACATTGGGTTATGTGTTATTCACATAGGAAATTACAATCATGTATTGACACAAATAATATACGATTATTTGTGATGTATAGTTCAACCCTTACATATTTTGTGTTCATTATCTTGTATTATTTGATGTTGTTTTACCCCCCCAAAAAATGTAATTTCATAATGAATACTGTTACGTGATTTTCGTCAATAAGGCTAACTAAATACATGACGAAAATGTCTCTTAAGACCACACATTATCTATAAAGAAAATGTTCTCAATGCTTCTCGTTTGACATGAAACAGTGCGTGAATTTAGCAAACAAACAATTAATTAAGTTATCTCCAAATAAACTGATAATGCAATCAGACGCTGTCCTCCTCTTCCTGCTGGAGGACCCCCATGGGACCACTGGCCTTGTGTTTATCCACCAATCGGCGCGCAGGAGAGGAAGAACCCGAGCAGCAGCGCGCAGGGTTTACGCGCAGAGGAGACGTAAAGCTGCGACACGACCGAGAGGATGCAGTGGATTTAAAACCTTAAAATCCCAGCTAATTTACAGCCGGGCGACAGGGGAGATATCATAAAGAGAAATACCGAGGAGGACGATATGAGTGTGGTTAAGGCCGGACTCACGGACGGTGGATCCCCGAGGCAGTGCGCTCAGCCTCCGAGCCGGAGCAAAGATGCGCGGATCCAGCAGCAGCAGCAGCAGCTCCAGAGGCACCATGGAGCCTCCGTGCTCAAACAGCCCTCCCTCAACGAACCGGGGGACGTGGTGAGGCGGGCTCTGGACTTCAAGAGCCAGGGAACCCAGTGCTACAAGGATAAGAAGTACCGGGAGGCGATCGGGAAGTACCACCGCGCTCTGCTGGAGATCAAGGGGCTGTGCAGGGTGCTTGGAGACCCGGAGATCAAGACCCTTTCCCCGCTGCTGCCCACCCTCAGCAAGCCCAGCTCCCTGACGGAGGAGCAGAAGGGGGCCATGGAGAACGCGGAGCTGGAGTGCTACAACAGCCTGGCCGGTGAGACACGGTTCTATATTATATTACATTACAATGCATTACATTATATCACATTTCATTTCATCACATTACATCGCATTACATGACATTATATTACATTAAATTATATTGCATTACATTGCACTATATTACCTGATGCGCTTTATCAATTCAAGTCAATCCTTTATTGGCATGACCATAATGACAAACAGTATTGCCAAAGCTTATACAATTCTAAATATCTAAATAAATATACATTTGTATTGTGCTGTTATGTTCCGAGCAAAAGCAAGAATAACATGGTTTCTTTACGAGGAAAAACATATACATTTTGAACATGAACTAGAACAAATCAATTAAAAAAATAAAATAAAACAAAGAACAATAGAAAAGGTTATGGTGGATTATTGGTTATTGTGTAGAATAATGCTGATAATACATTCATTAGAAAAAATAAAATATATATATTTTTCAAATAATTGAGGATGCCTATTTTGGGAAGAATTGTTTCTGGACATTACATTACACTGCATTTAGCTGACGCTTTTATCCAAAGCGACTTACAATAAGTGCTATAAACCATGATACAAACTCAGAACAAGATAAATGCAGATATATATATATAAATAAAAAAGAAAATAAATATCAATAAGATGTGTTTTACCTAAATGTATTATGTAAAACAACATAACAGAAAATGCTGCATTTCAGTTTAATACACACAGTTGAGCTCAAACACACTATTTTATGAACATAGAGGTTTTCTTGCAGAATTAAATAAGAACCAATGACCCAAAGAAAGTGAAAACCATAAAGCAGATTCAGGCAGTAGGCGAATAGATTCACATTTAAAGTATTAGCCTACAGAACAGCACAGTTTACAGAGAAGAGATAACATCTGATCCTTTTACAACAAACACTAAATGCTTAGGTTTTAGTGATCCTGCTAGTAATCCACAATTTTTAGAAATATCACAGTTATCAGATTTTTGGGAATACAGTTACCTTTGTTTTTGATGACGTAATCCTGTTACACGTAATCCGTTACTTCCCAATCCTACACACACACACACACACACACACACACACACACACACACACACACACACACACACACACACACACACACACACACACACACACACACACACACACACACACACACACACACACACACACACACACACACAGTGCCTCTCCACAGATTCTGGGAGACTCCTGAGCTCATGAATGATTCATATAGAAGAGTATGAGTCATTCTCAGGCTCACCCCACTATCAACCTGCTTTTTTTAAACATCCGCTTCATATTGGTGGTATTTGGTAACCCCCCTTCGGGTAAATATTTATTCAAAGAATCCCTCGTTCTATATGTTTTCTGGTTTATAATGAAATCAAACATTGGATGCTGTGTTATCAGTAACGTTTTTTAACTATAGGGTTGTGTATTGGCGATACATCTGGCTATATGATAGTGTTGTGATTCAAAAGCCTATAATGTATAGATATCAATCATCTTCCGTTACCATTAATCTGCCTATTACTTTTTCATATAACGATCAGAAAACAATAAAAATGTTAATCCTTCCAAGAAATGTCTTAAAATGTCTTGTTTTGTGAGTGCTTACCACCAGATATTCACTTGAAATGGCAAATTGCATTTCACATTACGTAATTGTAATTGTAGGAACCACAAACCACTGATGTATATATAATCTGAGTAAAACGTTTACATTTCTTGCAAAGCAGTAAGACCTGCATCATTTTGCATGAAATCTTTAAAAGAAATATATTACGATACTGTAAGCAAGGTAAAATATTGCGTTGTACAAGAACCACCATATACATACATCTTATGCATATGGTGGTTCTTATACTATGCATTTAAAAACTGTAGGCTGCACTATTTTGTTATGTGATGTTTGATTGTATGCAATATTTGCCATTGTCTGACGCATGTTAACTATTATTTGAAAATCCATGCAGTGTTTTTTAATCACACAAAAGAACAAGTGTATTGGTATGTTCTAACCTCCCTATTATTACTCCTCCATCTTCCCCTCCTCCCAGCCTGCCTGCTGCAGATGGAGCTGGTGAACTACGAGCGGGTGAAGGAGTATTGTCTGAAAGTGCTTTACAAAGAGGGGAAGAACTTCAAAGCTCTGTACCGCTCCGGAGTGGCCTACTACCACCTGGGAGAGTTCCAGAAGGCCCTGTACTACCTGAAGGAGTCGCACAAGCAGGAGCCGTCAGGTCAGAGCTGCCTCAGTGCTTTTATTCTTACAGGACAAAGACCACAGATGTTGGTTTGATTCACTTTGCAGCCACTTTCCCTTTTTTACTCCACTGAATTTATTAGGGGGCTTATTCGGCTTTTTCTCTTTCCTGTAGTGTGTTCTATAGGTTTGAGTGCATGTAAATGGTCTGCAGAGGCTAAAATCCCTGTGTTCCCTGCAGAGGGAGTTTTTCTCTCCCACACACCGTCTTTTGTATTTTAAGGATTAAGACAAAGTATTTTTTTTTACCTAGTGGTAGTACTTAAAGGTCTCCTATTATACTGTTTTTCATCAATATATCACAGGTCTCAGATATATACAGAACATGTCTCTGAAGTGTTTGGCTCCAAACACCAAACAGATCATTGCAGCATCCCATAATCCCCTCTGTTTCAGCCCTGTTTCCAAAGTGCTGATTCTCTGTCTGTTACTTTAGATGAAAATAAGGAGCCCCTCCCCACGCCCCTCTGAGAGATATTTGGTAAAAAAGAACACAATGGTGCTCTAGGAGGAGATTCAGGTGATAAGGTGGGGGGGGGGGGGGTTACCTTGGTTGGTGATTGGCTAATGGTTACACAAACCAAAACATCGTTATGACATCATAAAGTGGCCAAAATCTGATCAGCTCATTTTCAGACAGGTTTTTATATAAATGGATCAGGACAAAAAGAGAGAGAATCTTTGTTCCTGAAACTTTCAGAGTCTCTTTACACAGAGGGGACACATGTTGATGTAGAAGAGACATGAAGAAGAGGGGACACATGTTGATGAAGAAGAGACATGAGAAAGAGGGGACACATGTTGATGTAGAAGAGACATGAAGAAGAGGGGACACATGTTGATGAAGAAGAGACATGAGAAAGAGGGGACACATGTTGATGTAGAAGAGACATGAAGAAGAGGGGACACATGTTGATGTATAAAAGACAGGGAAAAGTGCATTTTGCATGATAGGTGACCTTTAAGTAAAACAGATGAGTACTTTGTCCTCTACTGCTTAAAACCACAAAAGATAACATTTAAAATGGTGTTTCATCTGGAAACAAAAACATGTTTATCCGTAGTCGCTGAAAATAAATTTCCAACCATGATTTCCTGCAGCCACACTGAGTTTAAATGGAAGATTTACGAGCATATTGATGCACCGTTTCCTGTGTGAGCAGGAAATAAATCAGCGTTTCCCTCTCTTTGTTTCCAGACACCAATGCCATCCGCTACATCCAGCTGACAGAGATGAAGATCCGCAGGAATGCCCAGAGGGAAAAGAAAGAGGCGCTGGCTTGAGGACAAGAACAAATCAACCTTCACCCAGACCTTACACACCTGCAGTGTCTCGGTGTGAAAACATGTTCGTTTGCTTTTGCCTTGCACAGCATCTGGTTGCCAGTTTTGTGATTGAATTTCATCGTTGTGTGCTTGAAGAGTTTCTCTTTCTTTCTTTTATCGTACATGATCCTGCGGTGGCCGACAGGTGCAAACGCGTTACTACTGCGAAAAAACATTTAGATTGGGAGAAACACGCTACAGCTTCAGAAACGATGCAGATATAAAAACAGAAATGTGCCAAAAACACATGAAGAAACATCTTCAGCAACTTGACAACACATGCAGCATTTAGAAAAAACATTCCCCGACTTGAGGAAACATGCGCAGCGTTTACTAAAAACTGCAGAAACCGAACACTGCAAATACAAAATGCTGTAAATACAAAACGCTGCAAGAAGCTCAAAACACAACGGAGACCAGGGGACACTAAAAAGTGATGCACACATCTGGGAGACCAGGGGACACTAAAGAGTGACGCACACAGCTGGGAGACCAGGGGAGTCGGGGACACTAAAGAGTGACGCACACAGCTGGGACGGAGCACTTGGTGACGTTCAGGATTACAAAGTTGGACAACTGTCTCTGTTGTTGGAAACTAAAATGTTAACTTATTTTAACAAAGTGATCACATGACTCCTTCTGATGTTACTGCAGATCTGCTGTAAGCTAGCTAGCTAACCTAGTCATTTGAGATATACTGACAAACACTTCCAGTTATGAGACAGACTGACTCTGCAACAGAGACAGTTGTTCAGCTTTATAATCCTGAACGTCACCAGGCTGTCCCAGCTGTGTGTGTCACTTTTTAGTGTACCCTGGTCTCCCAGCTGTGTGCGTCACTTTTTAGTGTCCCCTGGTTTCTGTTGTGTTTTCAGCTTCTTGCAGAGTTTGGTATTTTTATATGTGCAGCATTGTTTTTAAAACTGCAGCGAGTTTCTCCCGATGGAAGTGTTTTGGGCCGTTGTAGCGCGTTTCCACTTGTCGGCCACCGTAAGATTCTGTCTTCGAACTGCCAAATTGTCTCTAGTCTTAAGTATTTTTTAACAAACTGATGCACTGCCAGTCCAAACATTGCACATACAGGCCAACACTTGTGATAGAGGAAGGAGGAGTCCAGCAGGCGAGTGTCACTGCACGTTAGCCCGCGCACAAGATGTCCAAAAGAGGAACAACCACCTACACCACCATGCTTTTATTTTGAAAGTTTTATACTCTTGATAACATCTGAAGTAAAGGTGCTGTCATTAAGTCTTAAGGTTTCTATCTCAAGACGTGTAGGCGAGGACATCAATGGGTGCTAAATGCAGTAAGAGACATATCACAAAATGTAAATAGGCTACTTTATATAAATCATGAAAATAATATAACAAGCTATTTAGTGTTTATTGATGCCAAAACAAAGCACTCACAGCATTCACTGTATCAACAATTACTGTGTGTTTACTGTAAAGGTGTGTGTGTGTAATAAATGTGTCTATTGATTGAAGTCGTTGTGATGCTGAAGTGGGTTTATGTTCCTTTAAAGCAAGAAATAGATCCATGGAGCAATGTTGATGAATGTATAAGTGAACCTGAGCTGAACTAAATGATTCTATATCATTGTTTTTTTCTGTAGGTTGAACTCTGAATTTTAGCGCCTCTTATGGATTTGCTTTAGCTATTCAAGCAACAAAGGTACATTTCTCAGAAAGATAATAATTACCCATCAAGATTTCAAAATTGAAACATGTTCAATTGTTTGATATCCAGGTAGTTCAGACACTCTCCAACTACAGGCATTCTATTCTGGAAAATGATATTTACCTGCTCCCTGTTGCAGCTGTTAGCTAATCCAAGCAAAGATGACCACCTGATTACCTGGATAGAGAATGGACGTTTCTTGCTGCAGCGGAAAATGCTAACCGAAACAGTAAAGTTGCAAGCTAGTGAATTAAACAAAGAGCAAAGGATGAAAAAAAGCATTTGATAAAGCCATGAATTCAACGAGGAAACACAGACTCTTGCAAAAGAAACTGGATAGTTTACTATGATTTTACTCAAATCAGTGTTCCAGTGCAAATACAAGTCAGTCACTAACAGGATCATTCCCAACGCCAACGATGTCCATCAGCAACAGTCCATCAGCTTATTCGTGGTAACATCTCGGACACATTTAAGGAAACGTCGGACAAGAGCGGTGTTTCAACCAGCAGCACGATCATAAAGCACGATCACATTCTGCAGGCCTCAGAGAAAAGCATTCACGTTTTACATAAGACAGATCTCAGGTCACTTAACATTTGAAAATGAAATGACAGAAACGGGCCTTAAGACCAGAGTCAGATGGTGTTTCTTTTTTCAAATAATTGATTAATAAGCGTGTTTTATGACCCGACAGTCCATGGGAAGAACGTAACCGGGCATTTCCTCCAAAAAACATTTGTGAAATTAATATTCAACCTCGGTACGATACAAACGCCATAAAAAGCGGAGACATTAAATAATCAATGTGCACCGACCAGTCTGCATGCATTTAGCTCAGTTTAAAAAAAATGTGTTGATGTATATGGGATGCAAATAACATATATTTTGAGTTATTGATTACATTCTTATAATTAAAAACTTTAACAATTCACCGAAGCCCAATTTGTTGTCATCAAATTGCAGTTTCTTGCAAATCAAACATTCAGTTTACTATCAGAAAAGATGAAGCACATTTTACTTAATTGAGACGCTGGAGAATGTTGGGTGTTTAAAGTTTTAAATTAGTTTCTTACAGTCAAGCTGAGTTTTCATTATATGTTTTTTTTCCGAGTTAAATGTGGGGTAGGTAAGTTTGAGAAACCGGCTCGAGATACACTTTTTGTTATATTCCATGGAATGCTCTTAACATCCAGATAGCAATGAATATCTTAAGTGCTTTGACAAAAAATCCATAAAAAAATGTCATCTGTGGAAGCCCTAGTACTGTAAAAAGCACGACCAATCATCTGAGCCGGCCCGGCTAAAATAACTGGATGGCCTACCTGCCTGTCAGCCTTCCATCTCGTGCACAAACTTATCTCGTGCGCGTTCGTGTGTGTTGGAGGAGGGGCTCTGTAAGGAAGTGGCAGATTTTTTCCGGTTGTGTATTTTCAAATTCTAGCGATCTCGAGCTGGTTTCTCCAAAATTACCTACCCCACCTTTAAGACGTTGGTACTGAAGAGGTTTAGGCTACACGTGAGTTTCTTTTTGAGAACAAAAAAAAAGGGTTATAAAATAAAAGAATCAGAAAATCAGAGACTGAAGTGAGGATTCGGAGATAAACAAAAAAAAGGTAGAATTTAGAGTTCTAAGAAAATAAATGTGAACTCCGGGGAAAAAGTCAGAATCAGACATCTTTAGAAGAAGTCGACATTTTGAGAAAGAAAAAAAAAGACAGAATTCTGAACTTAATCCTAGAACAAAAAAACGTTGGTCATATCCCCCCAGAAAATGTTTTCCTTATCTTCTTCCCAACATTGGAAAAAGGGAATGATTTGTATTTTAATGTAGATTCCCCAGCTGATCGTGCCTGCTTTGATTCTCAAGTTGGATCGAAACTACTTGTGAAAGATGTTTAAAACAACCTGAAAATTATTTAAAAAGCGTGGAACAGACAAATAAATATATAAAAGTCAAACGTGGCATTCATAACAAGTGTCAAAAAATCAAGGCAAAAACAATGCATTATAAAAATAACTTAAATAAATAACATTAAATAATAAATACACACATGCCACCAGGGCCTGCTTCACCTGTAAGCACACTTTACATCCCTCAATTCTTTCTTGATCAACAATTCATTCATGAGGCGGACATTTAAATACAGTTACAAACAAAACGTTCCCTTTTTAAGTCTGGAGGAATGGGATATCACGGTGTACAGGCGATAAAAAAAAGAGAGTGAATTATACCGACAAGAAACACGATGCGTTTTCTGACAAATTAAAGAAAGAATCAGAGACCTAATTCCTTCTGAAGTTGGAAAAAGACATACATTCATGACGCTTTCCGAAAGTGCACTTCTTTAAAATGCACAATCTTCAACTCAAAGCATGACGTTTAATACAAGTTATGTAAAGCTTTGTGAAACTGTCCTGCTATAAAGCCATAAATCAGGTTATTCCCAAAGAAAAATCATTTACATTTTAAATTACTCATTTTTTAGACGCCACATTTGAGGATTCGTATAAAAAAATGGCAAAACAACAAATGTCGTAAAGGGTAAATATTCACATTTAGGTAGTTAGTGGCCATATGGAGGAAAGTGAGTCTTCTTCCTTTAAGCACGGATTAAAGCTAGAACAGATTCATTTTGTCAGTATTCATTCACCCACACCAGTAAGAAGGGACAGGCATGTCTGTCCTTTTTCCAACCCAGTTAAGATTAAACCACGGCTACTTCCACACAACGCAGACATTTCGACAGAGCATCTTTTTCTGTGATTTAGGAAAATACCACTTTTAAAATATGAACGACGATCACAGTTATGAAGATATGAGGTGGTACTGAAGAATATAGAAAACTAAATTACATGTCACTTGTTAGACGCTTTTACCCAAAGCGACTTACATTCACTCAAATCCCCACAGGAGCAATTTGGGGCTAAGTGTCTTGTCCAAGGACACAACGACATGATGACTGCAGTGGGGGTTGAACCAGTGCTCCCCTGATCCTTGAAAATACTAGTAGTCTACTACATCCTCAGTAAGAGGAGGTATTAGGTTACCGTTTTTTTTGTAACATTAGCTAGACCTGCTGTTTTGGGATCGTTCTGTAAATGGGGATAGCTGCTATAGCTATAGCACTAGTTAACTAATTCTTTGTGGTCTCATCAATTCTAAGTTTAGTGACGGACTGCAGCTAAGCAGACTCACAGTCGTTAGCAGCTTTAGCATCCCCCTATGCAGTCAGTGCACATCATGCTACAAAACATCACAGCGATCTTGGAAAAGCCTAGTAGATATAGTCAAATATATACTGTACTTATGTTGTTAGATAAAGTGTTGTTATACTCGTTTATTCTTCTTCTCCATGGTGAATTAATATTAAAAAGCTCAACTAACTTCACCTCGGATCAGCCTAGCTTTGGTCATATTTAAAAAGCACTATTTTGAGTATTTTCATCTACTTATAAAAAGATGCTCCATGTCAGATTCATGATTATCAGGATTAGAACAGGTGAGCTCTGACGCAGCTACCATGCTGTACTTATCTGCTATTGTTTTTTACTTAGTGTTTTTTATTATTAATAACTGGGACCCACTTTTTTATTCAAAATGTAAGTTAAGTTAAGTAAGTTAAGAATGCAAATGTGTCTGTTGCGGGACAAATAAAGGGATTCTGACGCTTTCGTTATGCATAAGTGGGCGTGGTTGTATTTAAACTGGGTTGTAAAAACGACAGCTGAAGCCGGGGCTGGTTCAGGACCAGTACCCGGGTCTGTATCGGTACGGAGAGTCTTTGGATCGTCCGGTCTCGGGTCTGCAGAGCGGCAGCGTCCCATCGCGGCACTGCCCCTCGTCCAGCTTGTCCAGCAGGTTCTCCTTCCTGCGGGGCGCCTCCAGGGGGGTGGGCAGCACCACGGGGGGGTCCCGCCCAAACTCTACAGTGGGGGGAGTTTCTGTACTGGAGGTGTGCGCGGGGGACTCTCCGTTGCCCAGGTTTTGTCCGTTTCCTCGGGGCCGACCGTCCGCCCAGAACACGTCGCAGCGGATCCTCGGGGAGGGGCGGGGTCGCGCCACAAAGTCTAGAGTTTTGGGCCGTTCGGGGGCACAGCGGCGGCGGGGGGTCGGGGGGAAAACCAGATTTGGATCGGGGAGCCGGGGGACCTCAGGACAGTCTTCTTTAAAACCTCTGAAGATTCCTGAAATAGGAAAGAAAACTAGTTGAGAAGGACTACTCATTTAACCTAATAAATGGATGAATATGAATTATAACTTGCCCATATTAAAGTATGCTAAATGTTATGTGGCACTCCGCTTTAGATTACTGATGTCCTGGACTGATTTAAGAAAAACATTTTCAGAAGACGCTTAATGTAGATTTAAATAAAGATACGTCATCCGTGTACATCTACTTATAATCAGAGATCCCTCACCTGTGTTTTCTAAAGCGGTCTTCTCCAGCAGGGGCTCCAGGCTGTGGGGGGGGCAGCTCTTCTTGATGGCTCCGTCTGACGGCGTCCTCCTCAGACTGCGGGAGGCACTGGGGGCTGACGGGATGTGGGTGGGGGTCAGCGACTGGCGGGGGTGACGCTTGAAGCTCTCCAGGTGTGTGTTGACCAGCGGGTTGATGTGGGGCTGATGCCGATAATGGGGGGGATGTTTGAGGGGGGAGGCAGGGGGGGCGGCAAGCTAGCTTCTCCTCGCTGTCGGAGCGCAGCAGCGAACGCGTGGAGTTACAGTCCGACACCGAGGATAACGACAGTAAGGTGTAAGAAGAGGGGATCGTGGGGGCCTTCAGAGGACTCTCTTTCCGGAAGAGTCTGTGAGTCTGGGGGCTGGTGCTCCTCCGATGCCCCCCCGCCCGGTGGAAAAATGCCTCCCAGCGGGACTTTACGTTTTCCTCAGGTTGGGACAAAGTGAGCAGGTTGCAGCCGAGCCCCACGGCCGCCAGCAGAGCTCCACAGCCCAGCAGGACCAGGTCGGAGCGCCGCCCCCCCCCCAGGGCTCCTCCTGCAGGGGGAGGCTCCGGGAGGGGGGGCGCTGGGGCAGGACTCTTCCCCCGTCTCCCCCCCCTCAGAGGCAGCAGGGAGGCCCTCCTTCTGGACGGGGAGGCAGAGGTAGGACTGACCCGGAGCTGCTGCTGGATCAGTGGAGAAGCAGCTGTCTTCATTTTCTAAACACAGGATAAAAATCAACATGTTATCATTAGAGCTGACATTTTCCAACACTAAGCTGAAGCATGAAAAAAGCTGCTGTCACAGAAAGCCGCCGTAACCCCCCCCTCTGTATAATATGTGCCAAACGGGACATATACTCGTGTGGTAGTATTCAAACTGCAGCAATATCTGTTCCTACAGTGGTGACCCGGTCCACTATCTCACACGCTGCATAGGAGTGAGATAGTGGACCGGGCTTCAAGAAACTGGAGCATGGTTTCAACATAATGCATTTCACAAGTGCAGGTGTTACAGTGAGGGACTGATAATACATGTAGATTGTGCCGATTAGTCTGCCTTCTTTGCCTTTTCACTGCCATATAATCCGTGGTAAACATCCCCGCTGAATTACGGGAGGAAGTTTGGGTCAAACTTATTTCTCAACGCGTTTTATGCTTTGTTGTCGTCTTTAAATGTAGGCCCGCATCAAACACGCTTAGTGCAGCTGCAACATTAAAATAGACTTTCCTCATTTTTTATTCTTAGTGCAATTAAGAATTTAAATGTCAACCTATTTCACTTCCAGCTGTTCTTTTTCCTTGATTAATGTGCCTGACATTTGAGTTGCTTCATTAATTGATACGTCTCTTGTTTGTGTTTCATGATGCTGAGGATTTATCTTGGGTTGAATACTGTAGATGCAATCATTCATGTTGCGAACTGGAAAAGCCTTGAACATCATTTAACAGCACTTCTCAAACATGAAGCGACACGAAGCAGCAATGTTAGTCAAACTCCATTCGTCCAGGAGGTTTTTTGCAGAGTGTTTATGACGCTTTTTCACGATCAGCTTGTTTACATTCAAATCTGAGATTCTCTGGTCAACCTCAGACAGTTTGGGGAGGATCTGTTTTTCCTCTCAATGTTTTCATCCATTCTGCATTTAGTCTACAGCTGTTCTACCATGTGTTCACTCTGTATATCAGACTAAGAGGTGATACTGGGTTCTGCTCACCCATCTCCAGCAGGCTGGGGACCCCGGGCACGGCGGGGCTGTGTCGGGGGGATCGTCGCAGGTTTGGGGCGCTGCAGGACCGCTGCCTGCTGCCTTCATGGGGGGGCTTCACACTGACACGGAGAGAGAGAGGGTTAGGTCAGATATAATGAAAAACAGGCTCCCAATGATATAATAAAAGACACAGTGACCTATCATATCCGATAACATTACAGTTAGCAGACACTTTTATCCAAATCGACTTAAAATAAGATGTTTTTTTTACTCATAGTGCATAATAAAAATACTCTCATTATTAAAATAATATTCTAATTGATATATTAAAACATCCTCTTTGAGCTATTACAGCTTCGTGTTAACAAAATGTACAGGATGCTGATTTAAACTAATAGATCTGAAAACATTTCACAGACCACCTGCAGAGACCCCTCTCTAAATAAAAAAAATCGTTCTTCCTCCGTCCACTCACCTGGCGTCGGCGCTGTGCTCCCGGTAGGGGCCACAGTTATGGGACCGGCCCTTCTTCCTGGAGCCCTTCCTCTCGCCCTCCTCTTCCTCCAGCTGGACCCCTGCACTGCGACCCCAGGCCGAGTACCCCTCCCGAGGAGTCACTGAAACACAACACATTTAAAAACCATGCATTATGAAACTGAATTTAGACGAATATTCACCTGGCAAAAATGATCAATTTAAAGGTCCCCTATCATACTGTTCTTCATCAATATATTCCAGGTCTCAGATATATACAGAACCTGTCTCTGATTGGCTAAAATACCAAACAGATCATTGCAGCATCCCATAATCCCCTCTGTTTCAGCCCTGTTTCCAAAGTGCTGATTCTCTGTCTGTTACTTTAGATCAGGGGTCTCCAACCTTTCTTCATCTGAGAGCTACTTTCAAAAAATGAAAGTGGCCAAGAGCTACTTGCATCACGTCGCTTACATTTATTCACATAGCCCTCATCAGTTGAATTAAGCTATACTTTTGTGCACGTGTGAAATTGCAATACCTAAAGCTTATCAAAAATAAGGTCCAAGAAAACGAAGATTTCTCACATATTATTATGGCCCACATAATAAGTACATCACTGAACATTCACATAAGTGTCCTTAATCACCACCTTACAAGCATTTCACTCTTTTGTTAGTGAGATGAATGGCACTGCATGCAGTCCACCATAGAGGTGTATGCTGGACCCACTTAGCCTAAGGCCTCCTTCACACGGGAACGTTTGCGTTTATGCACAGTATGCGTATTCAAAAAAGTCTTCCGTTCACATGCATTCGTTTCATTTAACGTGTCTGTTCAAACGAGACCGCTGGAAACGCTGTAGTACATATGCCGGGACTGTAAGTGGCACTGTAACTTCCGCCACAAAATACACCAAAAGCAGCGAAGAAGAGCAGCCTGGTGCAGCCCCGCAGCAATGTTGCCATGGCTACCCTTCTGTTTATGCCCCGCCGCGGTGTATTTAGCAACATGTAGTTCATGTAATTCTCCATGTCCACTTGTTGCTGATGGTTGTGGTAGAGGAGCTGTAGATTGTGCACTAATATTTGTAGCATGGTCAGTAGCAGTAGCACTAGCAGTAGCTACTGACAGGAGGAAGTGTGTGTGGCGATTGCTGGTATTCAGCGGGATATAGTAATTTACTCAGCATATGGATAAATGCAACGGGGAAGTTAACTGAAAGAAACCGAATCTGTGGATATTGCATCAACCGACCAAGAAGCACGTCTCCGTGGAGAGGACGCGCTCAGAAAGAGAGATATTCTCTACAAACACCGGGTGAGATCGCTCCTCTGGGACACGCCGGTCCTCGTGTTTCCTTTTTTTGTGTGGATTATAAACATTTCTCTTTTTGCCGCCGACGGGCGCAGGAGCAATGAACAATAATGGCCTGGATTAGGCAGTAAAGACAAGTTTGGTGTATCGCAGAGCGGACTTTTTAATTTTGTTTGTGTTGTTTGGCTGGAAAATTGTCAATATAATGGATCAATGCATGAAATCTGACTCTGTTTATTTTGTTTAAGGAGTATATTGGGCGTTAACAATTCTGGTTTGCCTTTTATAATATTATTTCATTCAAGAACCCCTTGTGCGTTTAATTAACACAGCTATTTTTGATAGTTGCTACAGCAGTGAGCAGGAGAGGTGGGGAGAGGCGGGGAGAGGTGGGGCTATCGTTATTTTTTCAGGAAATATTCGTATAGAGGTGATTACACGGACTCGGTTGACCCCCCAGAGCGTTTCGTTTACAAATCTATCCACCTTGGGACCCGTTATCGTTTGTGGGGTCAGTTTCTATCGGCCTCGTGTAAATAATAGGGCTATACGCACGCGAAACTATGCAGATACAAGCTGTTTTCTCCTCGTGTAAACGGCGCCTAAGGTTCACTCTAATAGAGTCATTTAAATGTTCATCTGTCAGTCTTGTTCTGTATTTAGATTTCATTCATGTCAGAAAAAGCTGCTTCACAAAGGTATGTAGAACAGAACCAAATAAAGCAGACATTTTCAGTGCTGCTTGGTGAATGTTCTTAATAGTTTTCTGGGTCTACAAGGCTCCAGAAATGTTGTGAGTTTTGCTGAGACTTAAGCTGAACATTATTTTGGAGATCTCCACAGGATTGACACTGAACAGTTGTTCAGCCATCTTTTTCTTCTTCTTCTTCATCTTGACATTAAATTATAAACCATAATAAATTAATTGTATAGGTCTAGCCTCCCTATATCTGTGTGTGAAAATGGTTCCATCCTCAAAAACAAAAAACTAATACTTCTGCAGTCTAGCTGCAGCTTCTAGCAACGGTCTTCTGTTAAAAAAAAGACACTGAATGTCTTGAATGTGGCATCACACACATGACTTAAGTCTGAACACAGCAGACAACAGGAGTATTTACAATAGCATTATAAATATAGTGCATGTGGGTGCACACTTACATTCTCTGTCTTACTGTTACATAAATCCCATGAATGTATGAGATTAAGTTAGCTTCATCATATCTCAATCAGTGATTAAGTGAATAATAAAGTTTCTATCGGGTCACTATCAGCCTGTCACTCATTATTTTCAGGGAGGGGGCGGGGTTTGGAGGAACGGAGAGGAGACGGTGATCGCGGAAGCTTTCCTCCTGCCTTCACAAACTTTACACAAGTATTTATCAACTGAAAATAGCAAGAGGACATTCATACTCTGCAATCCAAGACTTGATTAAATCCACCGAAAACCTGACATGACGATAACGAGTGTTTTTCAAAAAACACAAATCCCTCCCTGTGTGTCTCTGAGGCGCAACGACAGGGCCTGATTCAGAGCGGGTCATTCTGCTGTTAGTTCTGGACTGGTGTTGGTGGAGAAAGCAGACTGCTCCGTGTGTGTTGTCGCTGTGCTGCTGTCACGTCTGTTCCTTGATCTCTGCGTCACCGACCATTTGATATTCGTGTGACAGAAAAAATTCTAAAATAAAAAAACGTTATTGTCCAGCCGCGGCCGAAAAATCAATAAGCAACCTTACTACGCTATAATCGATAATCGAGCGGCGAGCTACTGAAAAGCTGCCCGCGAGCTACCGGTAGCTCGCGATCGACGTGTTGGAGAGCCCTGCTTTAGATGAAAATAAGGAGCCCCTCCCCACGCCCCTCAGAGATATTTGGTTAAAAAGAACACAATGGTGCTCTAGGAGGAGATTCAGGTGATAAGGTGGGGGGGGTTACCTTGGTTGCTGATTGGCTAATGGTTACACAAGCCAAAACATCGTTATGACATCATAAAGTGGCCAAAATCTGATCAGCTCATTTTCAGACAGGTTTTTATAGAAATGGATCAGGACAAAAAGAGAGAGAATCTTTGTTCCTGAAACTTTCAGAGTCTCTTTCCACAGAGGGGACACATGTTGATGTAGAAGAGACATGAAGAAGAGGGGACACATGTTGATGTAGAAGAGACATGAAGAAGAGGGGACACATGTTGATGTAGAAGAGACATGAAGAAGAGGGGACACATGTTGATGTAGAAGAGACATGAAGAAGAGGGGACACATGTTGATGTAGAAGAGACATGAAGAAGAGGGGACACATGTTGATGTAGAAGAGACATGAAGAAGAGGGGACACATGTTGATGAAGAAGAGACATGAACAAGTGGATTTTGCTTAATAGGTGACCTTTAATGAAATCTAATTGTAAATGTAATTTGTTGATGCTCACGCTGGATGGCTCTGAGGCGCGGCAGCAGGGGGGGGCTGCTGGGGGGACTGGAGCTGCTGCTCAGTAAACTCCTCCGTTGGTCATGAGACGGAGACGCCTGCACCGTGATCTTGTGCTGGAAATCTGAATCAACATTGAAAAAAATACTTCATTTACTTCAGAGAAAAATTAAAAAAGTTGGAAGCCAATTGATAATCTAACAATAAACACCGGATATTTTGAAGCTGCTGTACGTAACTATTTGTTTTTAAAATAACAATAAACTTTTACGACAGGTCCTCTTTCTGCCGTGTGATTTTACTTGATGAAACATGGATAAAAGCTGTGAAACTTACCAAAAAGTTAGTTGAGTCAGAATTTGTAATCATATCAGGCTAAAGTTATAAGTCAACATTTAACTTTGTAATAATCAACATTTTTAAATACAAATTATAACATTTAGAGAGCAAAATGTTCACTTTAAGTCAGAGATATGAGCTTTAAAGGTCCCATGTCATGCTTTTCTGGTTATTACCCGTCCCCTTGTGTGTTATGTAGCTTTTTCTGCATGTAAACGGTCTGCAGAGTCACAAACCCTCAAAGTACACCCTGTAGGGAGTAAAACTCTAACACAGAAAAGACCTGTCTATGCTGCCCCAGAACGCCTCGTTGGACATTTCTCTTTTTCCATTGTTTGGTTCTTGGGTATAGTGACGTATTTTGGTATAGTGACGTAACGTAATGTAACGGCCGTTACGTAACGTCCGCGGAGCCATTACGTTTGGACCAATCCGCGGACTTCCTCACACACAGACACTCGGCGGGACGTTGCGAGGCTCGCTGCTGCGAGGAGCGGGACACTGTGAGCTGGCTCACTGGTGTGGGGTCGGCGAGACAGCGAGACACCGCGGAACTCAGCCTGGGCACACAAACTCCCAGCCAGGCTGCGGGTGTGTGTGTGCCCAGGCTGAGTTCCGCGGTGTCTCGCTGTCTCGCAGACGGCCACTGGGCTCACAGGGAGGGGGGGGGGGGGCAGGAGCTCCAACAAGCCGTTTAGGACAGAGAGTGAATACACATACTATACAGAGATGCTGTATGAGAAACCAATGTGAGTTTGGAACATTGCACAATATAAATCTATTCTAGTAGACCTCAACAATGGAATTATGATCAGTAGAAATGGCCATGGCATGGGACCTTTAAGTCTAAAAGGTATGAATCCAACCAAGTCACCCACACACAAACAACATCACAATACCAAATCTAGACTAAATGTAATACCATGCACACCCATGCACACACGTTACAGTTTTTGTCCCCGTTACCTGAGGGCAGGCTGATGCGGTTCCCGTCCTTCAGCTTCAGCCGGTTGCGTCTGAACTTTCCCTGCCGGCTCTCCACGTGAGGTTTCTCCTGGTACAGCTGGTGGATGATGATGTTCAGCTCCCGCTCCAGGATGTGGATCTCCCGCTCCGCCAGCTCCTGCTCGCGCCTCCTCAGCTCCTCCTGCTGGTTCTTCTGCTGCAGCGCCGCCTGCGTCAGCTCCTCCTCCCACGACCGCAGCTCCTGAAATAACAGACAGAGTGTTGGGAAAACACTGAATGTCCTCTTCCAATATCAGAGTCCACATGATAACAAAGGTATCCCAACTGTAGCTGTGTACCCCCTCACTCATCTGTGATAATTCGCCTATATTTTTTCGTGAATCAAACCCTTTGTTATCGTGTTTAACCCAACTGCTCCTAAATGAAAATCACTTGTATAACTCACATTCAATACAAATGCATTTAAACTTGAAATGTACCCTTGTTGTCAGGTAAAATAATGATGTGAAGACTCACTACTTATTTAGGAAGCCTATAGAGTGGTGCATAAATCATAAATCTATCGATCCTATAAAAATACGTCAAGACCCCTCCCCTCTGAACAGTCACTTTTATCCGTCATATTTGAAAATAAACATTGTTATTTTCTGTATTCATGTAAGACAAAAGTTATTTATTTATTTGGCGATGACTTGCGCTGTTTTTAAGAACGCACCCAGCGGGCGACCAGGCGCCTGCGTACCCCCTGCGATCCCCTTTTTGATTGATTGATCTCCCGGCCTTTAGCCTCCTAATACGAAGATGATCCCATGTGTCCGTCAATAAACTGGACCTCCGTACCTTCTCCTTGGTCCTCAGCTCGTCGAACATCTCCTGGATCTCCAGCTTCCAGTCGTCCTGCAGGGAGTGGAACGACTCCGCCGGCATCTCGAAGAATCCCGACTCCTCAATGGCCGTCAGCTGGTCCAGGATCAGTGTGAAGTGAGGCCGGCAGTGAGGGTCCGGACTCCAGCACTCTGTGGAACAACAGGGGGATGATCACTGTTCCTACTGCAGTGTAATACTTTTCGTTAGGGATGTAACGATATATTGAATATCGCGGTAAATAAATGTCTCAATACCGTCGTGAGACTGACAAAAAATTGACGCGATTTTCTTAATTTTTGAAAAGAAAATTCAAGTAAAAAAAAAAGAATTCACATTTTTTTTCTTTATTTTTCAATATCGCGATAAATATCGTACCGTGGACTTTTTAATCGCGATATTATCGTACCGTGAGTTTTTGGTATCGTTACATCCCTATTTTTCGTTGTTTCAAATATTTGTATTGAGAAGAAGCATACAAGTGTAAGCAATAGCACGGACTTCTTTGCGTTGGAAATCATGCTTCCCTTTTTCAACATAAAAGACAAACATAACAGCCAACAAGAAATAATAAAGAAAAAACATAGCATGACAGGAATACCGTACTCAATGACATACATAGTCATCGTGGGAAAGAACATAGTATATATAATACAAATAAATAAATAAACTTAAAGGGTGCGTGTAATACTTTTCTATACTATTTTTTAATAGTAAATGTTAAATTGTATGTTTCTGGCACATGCGCCGACACCTGTTTTTGCCTCTGGCTCTTGGTTATTAATCTTTATATGATCCGTTCTATGGCTTCTCTCAATTAAAGGTTTTTATTTAGGTTTTTGAATTAAGCTTTTAATCCAACAACGAAATATTCAAATTCAAAATGAGTGATAAGTGCCCAAATGTTTTTTTATAGGCTATCAATATTGACCTTTGGACTTTAAAACGCTCTGCAGTTATTGGAAATGTTTGGATCACACCGGTCTGACGCAATGCTACACAGCTACCACTGAAATCTAATTCTCCTAATAGTATAACACTAATAATATGAGTGTAGCCCCGTCTTTATCCGTGCACAAATACTGGCTTTAAACACAATAAAGAGACATGCAAAACAAGCATTTATATGTTAAATTACAGTTAAAATGTCAACATTATGAGTAAAGTTTTAAAGTTCCAAACTATTCTGCACAACCTGTATTATTTCCGTCTAATTAGGAGGATGACTGTCTTTGAGCAGGAAATAAAGGAGTTCTGTTACCCTCCATCAGTCGTGCAAAAGGCTCCGGACAGGTCAGGGGAACGGGCAGAGCCAGCTTGTTCATGGCGACTCCGTACGCCACCGCCAGACCATCGATCCCCCGGAAAGGAACTTCTCCCGTCAGCAGCTCCCACAACAACACGCCGTAACTGCATCGTGAGAAAATAAACAAAAATATACAAATAGGTGGTGAATACGTCAGAAAAGAAGCATTAATACGCAACACAAAATGTGTAAACTGCAGTATCCTCCTGAGATTAGAGGCTTGGTGTAAACACATCGAAAAAGGCATGAAAACTGGTTCTGGAGATAACAGTGAGTTCACAGCAGAGCACGCTGTTTGAATACATGGAGGGGAGTAAATGGCATCTGTAAATGCAAAGTAAATACCAAAAGGAGACAGAAAAGATCGAAAAAAGATGCAGTGCAGACAGACCAAGTGAGTAAATGTAGAACGCAGGAATAAGTGTTAGAATAAGAAAGTTATAGATGTCTTATATTTATCAAATGGGTGAGTGGCCGAGGAGGGACCATGACTTTTTGGAGACACAAATAAGGGTACTTTTCTTTCACTGCCACACAAATACATTTACTGTAATGTGCATATTTTTCTGTGTACTAATATATTTTCTTATCCTGAGTGATCTTTCCAGCTGCACAAGTACATAATGTATTTTTTATATAGTATTTATAGCTACATGTACTCTCGAGCTTCTTCTAGTCTAGTATCCATCTCATAACGCTTCTCTTCCCGTGTGCTAGTCTCTGTTTTATCAATAAATCATGTGCTGAGAACTGATTTTGTTCCAGTGCACGGAGATTAAACTGCTTCCTGTTTGGCTCTTCCAGTCTCCTCCTCCTCCTCCTCCTCATCCTCCTCCTCCTCATCCTCCTCCTCCCTCCTCTGCCCACCTCCACACGTCGCTGCCCTTGGAGAAGGTGGAGGAGCGGATGACCTCGGGGGCCATCCAGGCGTAGGTGCCGGCGGCGCTCATCTTGGTGGTGCGGTGCCACTCCCGAGCCAAACCGAAGTCCGTGATCTTCAGGGTCTTGTTGCTCAGATCCTCCATCTCCACCCTCTCCAGGATCAGGACTGGAGAGGAGGGGGAGGAGGTGGAGGAGGGGGTGATGAAGGGATTCGGTTGGAGGTTATGAGGGGGGGGGGGGGGGGATATGTGCAGATTTTCAGGTGGGTTTTAGGGTTTTAGGGAGATCATCGCAAGGATTGTGATGCAGCAGGAGGAGGATAAAACCAGATGAATCAAACACAATGCATGTGCAAAACAATAAAGGGTGGATGCAGAAAACAGGGTGGGGTTGGTGGGAGGCGAGGATGAAAGGATGGGAAGATAAAAGCAGAGAAGAAGAGAAACAGTGAGGAAACACAGATGAAAAACAGAGACAGCAGATTTTTACAACAGGAAGTGGTGGAAGATGTACTCAGATTTTAAGTAAAAGTACAGATACTACATTGTGAAAATACTGTTATACTTAAAGAGTCCTCTCAGCTGTATATCAGTATGTAGTGTCTCTACTTTAAAGAGTCCTCTCCTGCTGATGTTCAAGTGTATATCAGTATGTAGTGTCTCTACTTTAAAGAGTCCTCTCCTACTGATGTTCAGGTGTATATCAGTATGTAGTGTCTCTACTTTAAAGAGTCCTCTCCTGCTGATGTTCAGGTGTATATCAGTATGTAGTGTCTCTACTTTAAAGAGTCCTCTCCTGCTGATGTTCAGGTGTATATCAGTATGTAGTGTCTCTACATCGTGACGTCACTATGTTCCAGAAGTAAACAAAGGAGTCCAATAGAGGGATAATAATAATAATAATAATAATAATAATAATAATAATAATAATAATAATAATAATAATAATAATAATAATAGGGAGTCTTTAAAGTACCTCAACATTTTTACAATACTTGAGTTAATGTACTTCACTCCACCATTGACAACAAGACATCCCAAAGAAACACAGAAACTGACGCTGAACGACAGAAATAACCCGTTAAGAAGCAACCATTTGCTCTAAAAAGAAACATCCACCGTGCTCCACCTAACCACAGCACCTAACCTCTGCTGCAGAGAGGAGGGAGTGTCTGCAGGCTGCGGTGAACATCAAGCGCTCCTTCATCTGCTGCAGACACTCAGTCCAAAGAAGCTACGACATGAGGTCAGAGGAAAGCCTGCTCCTGAGCAGCAACATGAGACAAACACAGCTGATTCCCCCTGAGGATGTGGGGGGGGGGGGGGGGGGGGGGGGGGGGGGGGGTAGGGGTAATCTGTGCACTCAGTGTAATGCACACTCAGCAATTTAGAGGAGAGCAGCTGTTAAAGTGGCATGTTGTGTGAGAGACGGCACAGGGAGGAACAAACAATAACAAGCCAGGGTTTACTAAGATAAAATACCAATACCGTGCTTCCTGCCATTTGAATATTGCACTAGTCTTTATTTGGGAATTCAATTAAATGGTGATTATTTGTGCAGCACTTAAAAAAGGGCCCTATTCTGTTTGGGGGGGTTTTCCCTTTCCTGTAATGTGTTCTATAATTTTTAGTGCATGTAAATGGTCTGCAAAGGCTAAGATCCCTGTGTTCCCTCCAGAGAAGAGCTTTCTGAACATTAAAGCATGGAGACATGTCCCAGTAGAGACACTACATACTAATATGAACCTGAGCATCAGCAGGAGAGGACTCTTTAAAGTAGAGACACTACATACTAATATGAACCTGAACATCAGCAGGAGAGGACTCTTTAAGCAAATAAAGTTGTAGAGATGAAAGAAAGCAATCTTGAGTCTTTTTTTAGAGACCGCACGTCATAATAGCCACTCCATCACCACAGTGATGATTCACAGGGTGGAGCCACTTCTGAAATCACTCATTCAACTTTAGACTTTCTCAACTATGTGCTTTGAACCCCACTTCGAACGAGTTGACAATTTAAATGATTATACGTTAAATAACTTTGAGGTACGGCCTCCTGTCTGTCCAACATTTACACGACAGCTTGATATCATTTTCCACTTTTTATATTCTTAAATGATCGCCTGCAGAATTAAAGAAAGCTTTAAAAAAGGCTTGATTTAAGCTCTGCGTTGTTATTCTTATGGAGTATACGTTGAAAACTCCCTATTATGGCTAATCATTTTAATATTATTTGTATTACTTAATGTACTAAAAGAGTCAAGTATTCAATTTGTTTTGCATTTTTGTAAATATATAAATATTTTACTAAGAAATTGGTTCAAATTTAGAATATCTACTAATTTCATTCCATTTAATGTAAAAAAAAACAAAAACAAACGTTTAACATCATTTTATATCAATCACATAAAGCCAAGAAGTTTGTATTGACTTCTTAGGGCCTAAACTTCTTCTCATAGCCAGAAAGTAAAAGAGAAACTCTGGATTACACACTTGTATGGATTGAAAATAAAAGTGAAAGTGTAAACAGGCTGCACTGTGTTTCCTCTGAGAGTCCAGGACGGCACTGACTTAACATTTGATCGCAGCCAATAGGAAGTGAAGCGTCTGCGCTGATCACCAGAGAACCGACCAATGAGAGGCCTGCTCTCTGCTCTCTGTGTGACTGTGGGTGATATCTCTGCTCATCACAGCAGAGAGCATGGGGGAAGGTATACTATATTTAAAAGTAATGAAGCCCGACAGACAAAATAACAATAACAAATGTGGCAGTTTGAGAAGTTTGGTCCGCAGCAGGGATAACATGATGCAGATGTTCCTGATCGTGATGCAGATGTTTCTTAACGTGATGCAGATGTTTCTGTGTTTCTGAACGTGATGCAGATGTTTCTGAACGTGATGCAGATGTTTCTGAACGTGATGCAGATGTTTCTGAACGTGATGCAGATGTTTTCTTACTGTTGCTGGACTTGAGGTCCCGGTGGATGATGGGCACGATGGCCTGGCTGTGCAGGTAGAGGATGCCGCGGGCGATCTGCACCGCCCAGTCCACCAGGGTGCAGGGCGGGATGCGTTTCCCAGCCAAGGCGCGGTTGAGGGGCCCCCCCCGGGCGAGCTCCATCACCAGACACAGGTTGGGCTCCAGCAGACAGACCCCCAGCAGCCCCATGATGTTGGGGTGGTTCAGCATGGCGAACAGCTTGGCCTCCTGCCGGACGCTCTCCAGGGTCTGATCCGGGTCCTCGTCCGGGTCCCGCCGCGCCGCCTTCACTGCGACCTCTGACCCCCGCCATACCGCCCGGTACACCTTCCCAAAGCCCCCCACCCCGATGATCTCCTCCAGGGTCAGCTCCGAGAAATCTATCTCCAGCACTGAGGAGGGAGGAGGAGAGGAAAAGGTTTAGAGAGGCTGACCCAACATGAGTTTAGTATTTTGTTGTTTTTATATCTTGTATATCTATATACATCTATATTTTTATCTAATTACCAGAAGACTTTTATACTTTAACTAACTGCATCGTAACGACCAAAAATACAAACACACAACTTTGAAAGAAGCTCAAAACACAACGGAAACCAAGGGACACTAAAAAGTGGACGCGCACAGCTGGGAGACCAGGGGACACTAAAAAGTGACGCGCACAGCTGGGAGAAACGGAAAAACGAAGTGTGGAACACGCTAGCAAGTGTGCAGGTGTGCGTCATATGAGAGGCCCCGCCTTACATCTTCCGCCACAGATTTGGGGAAATTGGTCCGTGCGCAAAGCATTGTGGGGATTTTAAGGCCGCGAAGTCTACTCATGTGCATACTCGATATTTCTCCAAACGGAGTACGCCGGGCTCGGTAGATTTCCAAGTATACTGGAGATTGGAACAGTACTTCGGCGGCACTCGATGACGTAGTATGCTTGAAATAGTGGCTCGGAAGCAGCTTTACTCGCGATTGAGAAACACCCCAGGAGACAGTAAAAAGTGACGTGCACAGCTGGCAAACCAGGGGACACTAAAAAGTGACGCACACAGCTGGGAAACCAGGGGACACTAAAAAGTGACGCACACAGCTGGGAAACCAGGGGACACTAAAGAGTGACGCGCACAGCTGGGAAACCAGGGGACACTAAAAAGTGACGCACACAGCTGGGAAACCAGGGGACACTAAAAAGTGACGCACACAGCTGGGAAACCAGGGGACAGTAAAGAGTGACGCGCACAGCTGGGAAACCAGGGGACACTAAAAAGTGACGCACACAGCTGGGAAACCAGGGGACACTAAAAAGTGACGCACACAGCTGGGAAACCAGGGGACACTAAAAAGTGACGCGCACAGCTGGGAAACCAGGGGACACTAAAAAGTGACGCGCACAGCTGGGACCAGAGCGCTTGGTGATGTTCATGATTATAAAGCTGGACAACTGTCTCTGTTGTTGGAAACTTACCTAAAATGTTTTATGGGTTTATTTTAACAAAGTGATCACATGACTCCTTCTGATGTTACTGCAGATCTGCTGTAAGCTAGCTAGCTAACATAGCTAACCTAGTCATTTCAGATATACTGACCAACACTAACAGTTATGAGACAGACTAACTGCAACAGAGACACTTGTCCAGCTTTATAATCCCCTGATCTCCGTTGTGTTTTGAGCTTCTTGCAGCGTTTGGTTTATTGTGCGCAGGTTTGTGAAGATGTGTCTTCAGCTGCATGTGTTTTGGCTTTTGTTACTTCATTTGCATCATTTCTGAAACGGCAGCGCGTTTCAACCTTTATATATACAGTCTATGGTTTCAACTGATGAAAGTGTTTTTGAACGTTGTACATACTGTAGGTACAACGGCTCCATTTGTAATGATATAACATTTAAAACAATCACAACAAAGTGCTTTTGCCACACCGACATGAAATGTATGCACCTATAACCTTATGTACTTTATGCACTGTATGCACCTACATAGGACTAGCACTTGTTCAAAGATATGTAGAAAAATCGTATTTAAAATTCTTCATATCTGTTTGTATTTTTTTTTTTATTAACCCAATTCTAATGTTGTTATTTTAATATATACAGTGTTTCACTCTTATTGCTGCTCACATGACATTTCCCCACGGGATCAATAAAGATTTATCTCATCTCTAAATCTCTTGACACAGCATTAACATTTTTTGCAGACATCCTTCCAAGGACATGAAGGGTTAAAGTCAGCCCGTCATCAGCTGGTAATAATTCACCGTTTGCTCTTAAAGAAGGCAAAAGCATGCTAACAAGGACGTTAAAACCAGGTCACTGAGTGGAAGCATGCTTTCACTGAGCCACCCTGATGCCCCAAATACAGGAAGTGATGAAACTAAGAGTGAGCATCTGTCCAAAAATCTGACTAATGTTGGAGGAAGAAATGATGATGACCCTTTCCTGTGAGAGATGACCAGCAGCCTTTGTGTCTGTTCATTCTCTGCTAGCAGCCTCCTCATCAGACTGACCTTGATGAATATTTCAGGTGGATGATGTGAAAGTAGGCCAGCTGCTGCTGAGGAGATGAAAGCTACAAAGACAGCTGTCCTCCACCCAAACAAGCAGCGCTGATGTGGGTCGTACTGCCTTAAAATACAAGATTTATTATCCTGTCTTTTGCTTTTACACTGATGGGTTGTTGCAGCTGCAGAGGATCCTTTAAAGCTACTGTGCAGTTAGGAGCTTTTCTGCTTACTGTCTCTATCTGAGGCTGCACATTTAGCTCCACTAGACATTTATTTAGCTCTATGTTGTTGCACCGGCCACCGTGCATATCAAGATAATGCATTGGCCACAAAGCTATTTCCATGTACATAATATCTGATGATAATATTGCAGGCAAGGGAGCAGCATGTCCAGTTCTCTTCTCTTTCTGCTGAGGATGCAGCACAGGGTGCATTGCAATTTGAGGCGGGGTGCCTGTGTGTGTGTGTTTGTGTGTGTGGTTGTGTGTGTGTGTGTGTGTGCGTGTGACAGGAAGAGAGGGATGAATAATGGTGCTGAGGCTGTGAGGATGTTTGTAGGCCAACAGGAGCTCACTGCGCCGTGACACAGCACTCTCTCTCTCACACACACACACACACACATACACACACACTCACACACTCTGTTTAGTGATGTAGCATTAGCATGGAGCACAATAGGACTCACGGTGCAGGGGGGGCACCGGGTACTGCTGCTGCTCCCCGGTGTCCCGGATGTCTCCGTGGCTCACATAGTTGGAGGGGAAGATGCCGACCCGGTCCAGGATCATGCCGGTCCACCAGCCCTCATCCCCGGACACCAGCGAGTCCTTGGACAGCACCTCCACCAGGTCGCCCCTCCGCAGGCTGAGCTCGTCCTCCGCCGCCGCTTCATAGTCGAACACGGCCCTCCAGAATCCCGGTGCCTTGTCCGGTACCGCGTCCGGCACCGCGTCCGGCACCGCGCCGCCTCCATCCTCCGGCCAGCGGAACACATCCTCTTCCGCTGAGGAGACACACACCCTGGGACTCAAACTGGTGTCCAAAGCGGGTTTGAAGACATCCATGGACGCGATCCATAGGGGCGACCTGGATCACTGCATCCACCTGACGCGGCTGGAGACTCGGTGCGCGCTGCGTCTGCACACACACACACTCTCTCTCTCTCTCACACACACAGCTAAGTAGCGGCTAATCCTGCACACAAACACTGCAGGAGACTCGGAGCGCCATTCTGCAGCATCGTGTGTGTGTGTCTGTCAGTGCTGCTTCACACACACTCAGCTGCAGGTTGATGCTTCTCACACACAAACACACACACACACACACACACACTCGGCTGCAGGTTGGTTCCTCTCAGTGCTCAATCCTTCCCCCAGTCATGGCTGAAACTCACCGTCTTTATTGTAAGCCAATTGTGCAAACGTGCGAATCATCCTCGGCTTCCTATTGGTGCAGATACACGTCAGCAACGCTTTAAGCCCCGCCCCTGTCTCAGCTGCTCCACGCCAGTTAAACACACACACACACTTACTTACATACACGCACACACACACACACACGCACACGCGCACACGCACGCGCGCGCACACGCACACCCGCACGCACACACACACACACACACACACACACACACACAGAAAGGAAGCGTGTTTTCTTCAAATACTCTCCTTTATTTAGGTATTGACCCCCCTTAGAAATAATAACCAAAATAAATTGCAAAACAAATCGTAAAATCCATGCACAATTCCCTGAAATAAAAACAGAAACCCATAGCAAGGAGTAAAAAACAGTCAACTTAACAAACAGTCAAACAATTTCAGTGATGAGAAGGTGTGTTCATGTGTGTGTTTGTGTGTAGTGCTATCTGTTAGAAATATTCTGTTAGTTTCAGAGATTGTCAATTGTATTTCTACCTTTAAATTGCAACCAGTTCATGAAAAACACCAAAATATATCCTAAGTTTTGTGTGTAAGACATCATAAATATGTTGACCCAGACTGCATAAATAGTGGAGATGCAGTGACAGTGTTTCACGTATAAAACATGTTTTGCAAAAATAATCAATGAACCGAAAAGTGACAAATCCAACCTAAATCCAGTTCCTGACACATTTCACCTGACCAGCGAATTCAAAAATATCAAATCATTTAAAAAAATACATTTAATTGAAAATAAATAACTTATTAACTCAAAAGAGTGGGTACTAACCCTTTATTTTAGTTAAGATTATAAAATGGTAAACCAACAAGACGTTCTGAAATTAAAATTAAAATCACAAATTACTATATAGTTAGTCAAAGCTACACAATATTAAGATACCTGAAAAGGCCTAAATACATTTTCGGTTTGAAAAATAAAAACAAGTCGAATCTAAAAATGTTGAATATTTTGCAGTTTGCAGGCAATTCTATTGTTGCAGATATGCAGTTAAGTGCAAAGAAACAGACATGGAGTTAATTGATGTGAAGATTTGAGCTAGAGAAATGTTCCAGGTGTGGAGTAAAAGTATCTACAAGCAGAGAAAATGTGTTTTTTAACGGCAAAACAATCCCCCCACAAAGGAAATTAGAAGGGATATTTATTATAAACAGTTTTGATTTTGCTATAAAAACCTGTATTCTTAAAACAAAATCCTCTCTTCCATTAGTCCATTCTGGGACAACACGCTTGTGCTTATTTCTGCATAATATGTAAATAGTGGCTTGAACTGATGCAACACATTTATATTCGCAAAAGAATATTACATATTGACTTTAATATATTTTGGCAGCAGGTTCAACTTAATTGTATTAGGTTAGTTTAAAGCAGTAATATTACGTTGAAATACTTTCATATTTTTTTCAACTAGCCTTATAGAATTAAGTAAAATCTGTTGGCAAAACATATTTTAATTAAGGTAAACTTTTCCAACTTGTTGTGGTGTTTTGTTAAAACCCTAATAACTACATTTTGAGGATTTTGGATGTTTGTGATAACCTTTCAAAACCTTTAATCTAAAAAATACAAGTCTTTCCTTTATTTCTAAATCCAGTGATATATTTCATAATCAGTTGCAAGTCAGTGCAACCAGTGTTTGCTTATAAACCAGAAAGCTGCTTTATTTCCACAGAAAAAAACAAAAGGTGTTGATCTCAAAACACCGTCAGCTTTTGAAATTTACTTTTTTATTTTTGACATCTCATTGCAGGCCAGGAAAAAACATACCCCCTCCATTATAATTAAAATGTGCCCCTTTCTCTGTTACACAAATACAAGTGAAAAGAACATTATAATTAATGAAGCTTTTCCTCAGTGTCTCACAAATTCACATTTCACTTTTATTCCAAATAAAATAAAATAAGACTGCTGCCTTGAGAGGTGATGTGTATGATAAATATATTTTCCTCTTTTACAGAATTAAGACATTTCATATTTTTTAAGACAAAATGACGATTTAGAGTGGTGAAAAACCCCGCTTGTGCACACACACATACACACACACATGGCAGATTAAAAATAATACAACCAAATAAACAATATAAATAACCCTCTAAAGGCGAGGATAAAACAATTCCTTGACATCATGAACACCTGCCAAACTCAAGACTAAAAATGTTTTTTGCAGGATTCAAAAAGGTGACAAAGTGAGCCCCCGGAAAATAAAACAACACACACTTCCACTGGCTCAGATGACTGCAGATAACCTGTACTGTAAATGAGATGTGTGTGTGTGTGTGTGTGTGTGTTGGCATGCCCCCCTCCTTGCATGACACCTATACTGTGTCAATGTAAACATACACAGAAAATTATGTACAAAACGTGGGTGTTTTAGTGTTTTAATGGGACCCGTCCTCACAGCGTCAGTGGACCCCATATCGACTGAATGTGTGCGTGTGTGTGTGTGTAAATGTGGGGGGAGCAGGTGTGGTCCAGGGCCGGGAAAGAGCATCCGAATCAGCCACAAGACGTATTTACAACACTGCTCACCACAGAGGAAGAACACTGAGGAAGAGGTGGAGTGAGAAGAAGGGATGAACCACAGGGACTGGAGATTGACATCCCCCTTGTGGAAATACAGTGTCACTGCAACCAATTTTTTTCTTTACTTTTATTTTATTTCATTTTTTTTTAACAGATGTTGCATCCCACCTCTTTGGTAATCTCTTGGGTGATTTTTTTAATTTGACTGATTATATACTAACATATGCAAATTAAGTAATAAATATATTTTTTCTGCTACTTCTTGGGAGTTTTAAACGAGTAATCATTTTTTTTCTATTGTTTTTTATAAACAAAGCACCAGTCGTGTGTTAAACAGCATTCAGTATCGATGTCAAGCTACTTTTAAATTCATCCTGGAGCTATCTGCTGCTCTGACACCCACACTGGCTTCTCTCTACTGAAGAGTTTCAATCCTACTCTTTACAAAATTAGCAGAAGCGGGAGATGTTAAGGGAAAAACATGTAATTTGAGTCTTTTTTTGAAGCACTGCCAACCTAACACCTACATATTTGATTATGGAATCACTTTGATTTTCTCTTATATCATGAAAACAGATTTTACTTCGTTGTAGATGCACTGATTGATATTTATCAATGATTAGATGATGTTTAACATTAAAGGTGTTGCTCACAGTTACAATCCTTAGTACAGTAGTTTATCTGCAAGGATTATTACATTGATGGTAACATAATTATAATTCATTGTTAAATTAAATTGTCATGCGGAAATGTCAGAAAATGCTGTTTTCAGCAACTTAAATGTATGATTTGGTGCTTTTCTCTGTTTTATATCATATTCAAGGCGATATTTGTTTTTTTTTCTAATAGCTTAAAGGTAGGGTAGGTAATTTTGGAGAAACCGGCTCGAGATCGCTAGAATTTGAAAATACACAACCGGAAAAAATCTGCCACTTCCTTACAGAGCCCCTCCTCCAACACACACGAACGCGCACATGACCAATGAGGGCACGAGATAAGTTTGTGCACAGATGGAAGGCTGACAGGCAGGTAGGCCATCCAGTTATTTTAGCCGGGCTGGCTAAAATGATTGGTCGTGCTTTTTAGAGTACTACGGCTTCCACAGATGAACATCTGTTATGGATTTTTTGTCAAAGCACTTAAGATATTCATTGCTATCGGGATGTTAAGAGCATTCCATGGAATATAACAAAAAGTGTATCTCAAGCCGGTTTCTCAAACTTACCTACCCCACCTTTAACAAGACATTTCTGCATACATTTTTTTGTATGCAAATGCCTGGTGGTTTAATTTGGAAAGAATTGTGTACTCATTTACTTATTTAATAAAGTAGAGCCCAAGATTATGTTTAATGCTGTAATGCCAGGGATTCAGGCACAGACAACACCAATGTTGCAGTTGGAGAAGCTAACGTAACAGCAGCTAGCAGCAATTAAGGTTATGTGATGACATGCTTTGTATTCAAATCTCACATTTTATAAAGGCAGCTTTAAAAGCGGTTCTGGAAGAAGCTCTTCAGTTGTTCAGCTCAGTGTGGGCGGCTGCAGCTCCACAGGCACTCTGTTCGGTCCATAGTGACACCTTAAATATTGGCCTTTTGCACATGTACAAGTAGAAGTCTCAATAAATAGATCTATACAGCAAAGTGCATGGAAGGAACAGTAGAAAAATACCTCTTAATTTATTTCTGCAGCAACATGTTTTTTTTTTGTTTTTATAGGATTTCTGATTGAAAAGTTGAAAACTCGAGTGAGACCAAGATATCAGTAAATAAATAAAATACAATGTCCTATTTTTACCTAGGCAAGATACATAACTCTTAGAAATGTGAAGAAGACATCGTTCCAGTATATAGTTTGACCCCCCCGCCCCTCCCGTTTAGCCACAGCAATCCTTAGAGCAGAAAGTGACCACATTTAAACAAATATTCAAAATATACAGAAAATATGGAAATATATTATATATAGATACGTATAGAGTACGGAAGTAATGTTCAGGGCAGTTTGACCATGTTCACTGTGTCCACCATCACGATCGCTCTTCTTCTTCTTCTTCTTCTTCTTCGTGTGATTTCTGAGAACTCTGCAGTGCTCCTTAGGAAACTATGCAAATAAAAAATAAATACTATAAATCCATCCCACAGTCACTCAACAACATATTCCCCATTTACGATATTTTGCTATTCCTTAACATTGATCAGAAAATAGTTCTTTTAATCCTTTATTTGTGTTTGTGTGTGTTTTTTTTTGTTTTATTATATTTGTTGCGTTTTTATCCCCAAAATACTTTTTAGAAAAAGTCGTTCTCGTCAGACGTTGAGAAAAATATAGACCTCTGATTAACTCAACCCTCTCCGGATATAAGACTTCAGTCTCTTCCAGGTCTGCGTGGCATCTTCTGGACTCGATGGTGACCCAATCCCAAATGTAAGCGAACTGGCGCCGGCTCAGGACGGCGATCTTCTGCTGCAGGAAACTTGCCTCCGAGCATCCTTACAGAAAGGGTTGAGGGAGAGAGATAGAAGCGTCTGGGAAAACCAAACCTCTCCTGTTCATACAAACCATACAAGACCAAAAAATCCCACAGTGAGAAGCCACCCTCTGAAGTTGTACTTTAAACCCCTGCATGTTTGTATTCCCCTGTTTAAAAGCCCTCTATATGACAGTAGGCCTCCAGGCTGGAGAACAGGATGTAGAGGAACCAGAGGCCGAATAAGAAGGCGGACGTGGCCAGTCTGTGACCCCGCGGACCACCCAGTTCCCCTCCGATGTGGGCGCGGCGCCGGTAAAGCAGCACCGAGATGGCCAGGAAGGCGAAGATTGTGAAGAGGGTGACGGAGAAGGCGAGCGATCCGGCCTCCACCACGAACGGCTTCCCCTTCATGTGCCAGTAGATGGCCGCCACCGACCAGGCCAGGCCGATGCCCAGGAACACGTTGACGGCGTTGCTGCCGGTCACGTTCCCGATGGAGGCGTCGGCGTACGTGTCCTGCACCGCCGATACCTTACTGGCAAAGGTGTCTGCAGAGAGAGAAGTCATTAGGTTTTCATGCACATTCTGAACTTTGATTGGTGCACAGAAATAAAAGAGTCCCACCCATTTTAAACCACAGAGAAAAGCATTAAAAAGCAAGATATTAAATAACCAAACTTTGGCCAAAATACTGTGTATACAATTTTTCTAACGTTTAACTTTAAAGGTCCCCTATTATACTGTTTTTCATCAATATATTACAGGTCTCAGATATATACAGAACATGTCTCTGAAGTGTTTGGCTCCAAACACCAAACAGATCATTGCAGCGTCCCATAATCCCCTCTGTTTCAGCCCTGTTTCAAAAGTGCTGATTCTCTGTCTGTTACTTTAGATGAAAATAAGGAGCCCCTCCCCACGCCCCTCTGAGAGATATTTGGTTAAAAAGAACACAATGGTGCTCTAGGAGGAGATTCAGGTGATAAGGTGGGGGGGGGGGGGTTACCTTGGTTGGTGATTGGCTAATGGTTACACAAGCCAAAACATCGTTATGACATCATAAAGTGGCCAAAATCTGATCAGCTCATTTTCAGACAGGTTTTTATATAAATGGATCAGGACAAAAAGAGAGAGAATCTTTGTTCCTGAAACTTTCAGAGTCTCTTTCCACAGAGGGGACACATGTTGATGTAGAAGAGACATGAAGAAGAGGGGACACATGATGATGTAGAAGAGACATGAAGAAGAGGGGACACATGGTGATGAAGAAGAGACATGAAGAAGAGGGGACACATGATGATGTAGAAGAGACATGAAGAAGAGGGGACACATGTTGATGTAGAAGAGACATGAAGAAGAGGGGACACATGGTGATGAAGAAGAGACATGAAGAAGAGGGGACACATGTTGATGTAGAAAAGACATGAAGAAGAGGGGACACATGTTGATGTAGAAGAGACATGAAGAAGAGGGAACACATGTTGATGTAGAAGAGACATGAAGAAGAGGGGACACATGTTGATGTAGAAGAGACATGAAGAAGAGGGGACACATGTTGATGTATAAAAGACGTGAAAAAGTGGATTTTGCATAATAGGGGACCTTTAAGTCTTGATCTCACCTGGGACGGAGGTACCGAGGGCCACGAACACCACGGCGGTGACGGAGTCCTTGAGCCCGATGGTGCAGCCGAAGTGCGACGCCAGGTCTCCGATGACGGCGGTGAGCATGCCGATGATGGCGATGGAGGTGATGAAGCACGCCCAGCCGTTCAGGTAGTCAGTGGGAGGAACGCAGGCAAACAGAACCTTCCAGAAGACGGTGAGGAAGTGCATGACGTAGTCGAAGCAGGACGGCAGACGCTCCTCCCCGCTCTCGTCCTCCTCCTCATCTGAGGGGGAGAAAGGGTTGTTATTGAAGCTGAATGGGAGGACAGCAGAGAGAGCAGCACCAGCATAAAAGAGGAGGGGATATAGGAATATTAAGTGGGAAAAGATAGAGAGAAAGGGGTGAAGGAGGCAGATGATGAAGAACAAAGAGGACGAGGACAAAGAGAAGAGTTTGAAAATGTTGGCGAGATAATACAAATCAATAAAGGAGAAGAGTGATGACAAAGAGGGGAACAAATTCCTCTTCAAATTACACATTTACTAATTTATCAGCTGCAAAAGTCACTCAAGCTGTCAGATAAATGTATCGGAGTATAAAGTATAATATTAGCTTTCAAAATGTAGAAGTATAGAGAAGCATATAAGTAAAGTACCTTAAAGTTGTACTTAAGGTTGAGTATATGTACTTCATTGTATTACACTGGTTCTACACTGATTTAAGAGAAGATGGGAATACAATCTGTATTAACTTGTACTTAAAGGTGGGGTATGTCATTTATTTCAGAAACACTTGTTGTTATATTCCATGGAATGCTCTTAACATCCCGATAGCAATGAATATCTTAAGTGCTTTGACAATAAATCCATAAACAAAAATTCATCTGTGGAAGCCGTAGCGCTGTAAAAAGCACGACCAATCATCTGAGCCGGCCCGGCTAAAATAACTGGATGGCCTACCTGCCTGTCAGCCTTCCATCTGTGCACAAACTTATCTGGTGCCCTCATTGGTCATGTGCGCGTTCGTGTGTGTTGGAGGAGGGGCTCTGTAAGGAAGTATTTTCAAATTCTAGCGCACTCGAGCTGGTTTCTCCAAAATGACATACCCCACCTTTAAGTAATGTAACAGTATTTATTTTACACTCAACAAAGTATTTAACAATTGGGTTAACAGCAGTTAAAGACCTAAGTAGTTTATCCACCACTGACAATGTACAATATAACACCTTTGATAGGGTTTACTATTACTGTTTGGAATAATGTATCATTTTGGATTTGTCCTTCTTTAAAGTGTCATCTTGTAAGAGCTATAAAATGAATGTGCCCTCAGGTGGATCTCACAGGAAGTTCAGCATGGAGAGGAGGAAGTGACTCAGAGTGTCAGGCCATGTGAGCTGCATGCATCTTTCAGATCATGAAATAATAAAGAGTACCGTTGGATTAAATATTTCAGCAGAGAGAGGAAGCTGTGACTGCAGAGCGGCAGGACGACCAGATGATGGATGGCTTTTTAATCTCACCAACATGAAACTTCTCCAGAGCCGCAACAGCTTTCAGGGACGACTCCACTTACATTAGCTTCTGAAAACTGACGCTGATATTTTTGGGCTGAAGTTGGGGGTAGCTTCTAAGAATACAACATGTAGTATGCTGAGATTAACCATCCAAACAAGAAGCCAATTTATTTCTCTCATACAAGCCTACCACGCGGTGAAAGGTTTTGGTCCTTCTTACATTCAAGTCTTGTTCAAGGTCACAGGAAAGGGAACTCCCCAAAAGACAGAATATGGCCCATTTAAACAATTGATGTCCCTTTATTTAGCATACCACTATTTGTATTATTATTCCCTTCAGCACCTGCACTGACGGTGATGGCCTCCATGAACTGGTCCCTCCAGGAGTTGGTTCCCACCACCAGAGCCAGGTTGGTCTTCTTGATCAGCTTGTCCACCGTGCTCTGTGAAACCAGATAGAAACAGTATTAAATCCATCCAATCCATCCTGTCCAGAGGCTGCTGTGAGGAGCAGTTCACCAGCGTGGCCACCGGGGGGCAGTAGCATCCAGTTCAGCTGCAGGAACATGTGTGAAGCATGATGAAGAAACACAGCAGACACACATATGGAGGAAAGAGGATGACTTTATACAGAGTGGTGGAGAATAACAAAGCACATTCACTTAAGTACAATTTCCAAGTATTTCCATTGTAGGCCTCTAAACTTACACTTCACTACATTTGAGAAACTTGCACTTTAGTTACTAGTTACTTTACAAAGTAAGATCATCCATGACTGCACAAATCTGTCGATATTTAAATCTCAAATCAAAATGTCCCTTTTTAAAACTGCTTTTAATATTTAAATATCTAAATTGATTGTGTGTTTTATATTGAGAGTGTATTGATTTCTTTATTTTAACCTGTATATGTTAAGTGAAACAGGAAAAGCACTCATTATTATTATTATTATTATAAATATACATTTTAAATTATTTTAATTATATGTCTTAAATTATTATTATTTTTACTGTTATTTTTTCATATTTTAAAATGTATTATTATTATTATGTTTAAGACTTATAAAACCTGATGTTTTGTAATACATTCAAAATATTGCAAGAATATATACAGTTTAGTAAATTATTTAATTTGCCAATTCAGAATACAAATAACTTTCATCTACGAAATAAAATAATCTTACAGAAAAAATATTTGGAGTTTATTTTTGTTAATATATTTTGAAGAAGAACAAGATAAATCCCCAAGAGGGAATGCATTTTGTTGATTGAACCTACTTACTTATATTTTACACTTTAGTATTGCTTAAAAGTAAAACTCTCAGTACTCCTTCCACCTCTGTTTAAACCAACTCTCCTGCAGAGGACGTGAATAAAGAGGCCTCTACAGTCAGAAAAGCTACATTTACAACCCTGCATCTGTTATTTCCAGCAGATTAATTGAAGTTTTCCGGTGTTTGCAGCAGCAGGAATATCCCGCTCTGTTTGCAGAGGAACCTCTCTCACCTTAAACTCGTACGACTCCTCGATAATCACTTCCAGCTTGGAGTTCTCCCCCAGCACCGGCTTCCCCATCTCCGCGATGCGCCGAGCCTCCTCCTCGTCTGTCGTTATCTTCCTGTCTGACACATCTGAAGAGGAGGGCAGAAGAAGACGGAAATCACAGTGAGGAAGACGGAAATCACAAAGAGACGACGCTCAGCTGATCAGCACGTTGTTATTCACAGAACAAAACATCTGACAGTTTCCATCTATTCAGACTTCATAATGTCCACGCTCATCCAAGAGGCACAGTTACATGCAGTATTATACATATCAATGCAAAGTGAAAAACTACAATATTTATTGTAATACTGAATATCCTTATTTCAAAAGCTGTCTGTTTCTCGGTGGAGGTTAGACTTTGTTATGTAAAAGTTAGACAGACCTTCATGCACAAAACACTGCAACGGCAAATAATAAGTGCAGATTTATGGATTTCTTTTGTAACATTTCCCATTATAATTCTAATTTAGAGTCAACAATGACTTTCAAGGTCCTTTGTGATGTTCACGCCTTACCAAGTTTGTTTACATGCAGTATTATACACATATGCAGTCACATCTGTCACACTCTGTCAGTGCACAGTGAGAAAACAGAAGATTTATTGTAAAATACCCACTAAATACCCTCTTTTCAAATAGTTTTCCTCTGCTTTTGGTGGGTGTTAAACTTTGTCGTGTGAAGGTTAGAAAAACCTGCATGCACAAAACACTGCAACAGCAAATAATAAGTGCAGATTTATTTATTTATTTTGCACCACTTCCCATTATTCTTCTAATTTATAGTCAACAATGACTTTCAAGGTCCTGCAAAACATCAGAAGGTTTTCTCGCTGTTACGGGAAGTTAATTTATTTAATAATATTTGTTAAGCCTTTACATGCAGTATTATACATATGTAGTCAAATCTGTCACACTCAATCAATGCAAAGTAAAATAATAGAAGACTTGTTGTAATAATACCTATAAATATCCTCTTTTTAAAAAGGTTCTCTTTGTCTTAGTAGCCAAACTAATGTTAGACACACTTGCACGCTTGATCAATCTCACAAAACACTGCAAAGACAAACAATAAGTGCAGATTTATTTTATTATTATCTTGCATTTTCCATTATTCCTCTAATTTAAAGTTTATAATGACTTTCAAGGTCTTTTTAAAGAGTGAGTTTTTGCCTCTTTTTGCCTTTATTGTTAGATAGGAGAGCGTCAGATGGACAGGAGGAGGAAAAGACAAGGGCCTTGGTCGCTACAATACGGATTCAACAAAAAACTGTTTGTCTTATATAAAGGGAGGCGTGTGGCGCAGTGGATTAGTGCATTGGTGTTCGGATCAGGGGAGCACCGGTTCAAACCCCACTGCAGTCAGCATGTCGTTGTATCCCTGAGACACTTCACCCCAAATTGCTCCTATGGGGATTGTCCACAGTATTGAGTATGTAAGTCGCTTTGGATAAAAGCGTCTAACAAGTGACATGTAATGTAATTTTCTTTTTTAAGCTTCTAAAAAACAAGACATTCTTTCTAGTTGATTTCCCTGTGTGCTTTTTCACACATGTCCCTCTTTGGGTATGCTTTCATTTGCAATCTTTAGACTGAACATCAGTATCTTATATCATCATATCATATATTTGACTATATATTTTTTATTATTTTTAATATTTTTGCTATTTCTCTACCTTTGTTTTTAATTCTTGTTGTTATGCACCACGACACCAAGTCAAATTCCTCGTACGTGTAAACCTACCTTAAACCTGTTTCTGATTGATTCTTAATAGAAAGCCAAAAGAGTGTTTGATTGATTGATTCGTCCGGGCCAAACGGACTATGTCTTATGTAAGCGTCTCATGTTTCTCTGTCCTCCTCTCTGCAGAAGAAGCTCCGTCAGAGCTCCTGAGTGCCCGCTCACTAAAGATCTCATAACATCACTTCAGTGTCAAACTGCATCAAAGCGGAGCGTCTGCATCGGTCCTCTGATCCTCTGGTCCTCGTGCAGAGACACCTGCTGCACGGCCTCTAACACGCTCAGCATCAAATATTAACACTGCCATTAAACATCAGACACACACACACACACGCACACGCACACGCACACACACACGCACATGCGCACACACACACACACACACACACACAGTGTGCACCCAGTGTGATTGATTTTGCTCATGTTAAAAAATGGATTATCCTGCAGCATCTACATTTCCTCGACAAGGAATAAATAAATAACAAAATCCCACAAAGGTAATTACATTTCTAATTGTATCTCGACGGTTATCAGGTGTTTGCTCCGTCCTCCTGACTGCAGAACATGATTTATGGATTTGGGGTTCATTAATTAGCATGACATCCATCACTAAGAGCAGCATGGTGTGTGAAACGCTGACAGTAGAGGAGGAAGAGGAGGACGGGTTATTTATATCACATAATCTCAAGTCTTCATCAGCAGCAGAATAAAGTCCTCTGAGATTTCACGCCATGCAAAAGAGACTCAAACTCAGAGGTGGTATTAGAAAAGACCACAGCAAAGAAAGGTGTTAGAGGAGGGATGCACGTCTTACCGTCTGCTAACAACATGGCTGTGAGGGGAGGAAACAGAACAAGTGGATGAGCAGTGGAAATGGAGGAAGCATGCATGAGGAAAAGAGAGAGAGAGAGAGATGTGATGCTGCAGAGTATCGACCCTGAGGTGTGAAATATAACGCTCTGATTATTCAATTAGCCGATACAGAGAAAGAGAGTCCTTTTTTACAACAAAAGGAACCAACGAGGTGTATTAAAGGAAACATGTTGAATACAATCAACAGAATGGCCTTCTATGTCATGATCTGCAGCTATAAGCATACAAACATTTCATTAAAAGTTGATTAATGCAAACTGCAGTCGGATGAAAGCTGCTGTATTGATTTTGACGGGGTATCTGTGTATATTTTCACAGGTTGGGAATTCATTTCCCGATTATTCTGACACCAGAAGACAAAGAAAGAAACACGGCATATTTACATGTGACCTGAATGTTGTTGTGACCTTTGGTGTGTGTGTGTGTGTGTGTGTGTGTGTGTGTGTGTGTGTGTGTGTGTGTGTGTGTGTGTGTGTGTGTGTGTGTGTGTGTGTGTGTGTGTGTGTGCGTGTGTGTGTGTGTATGTGGGCCTAGCATTACTATACTTGTGGGGACCTAAATCTGTTTACACAGTCACGTGTGGGGACTCGCCTTCCTTATGGGGACAAAATGGAGGTCCCCATGAGGGGAATCATTAATTTTAGGGTGAAGACTTGGTTAGGTTTAGGGTAAGGGTAAGATTAAGGGTAAGGGTTAGGGTTAGGATAAGTCTCCAGGAAATGCATGTAAGTCAATGTAATGTCCCCTGAAGTGATGTATATACATGGTATGTGTGTGTGTATGTGTGTGTGTGTGTGTGTGTGCGTGTGCGTGTGCGTGTGCGTCGTGTGTGTGTGTGTGTGTGTGTGTGTGTGTGTGTGTGTGTGTGTGTGTGTGTGTGTGTGTGTGTGTGTGTGTGTGTGTGTGCAGGTAGTGCCTAGTTTCCTGATTGGACCTGATGACTCCACTTGTCAGCCTGCTCCCAACAGAAGGTCTGCATTTTTTATATTTAGGGATCTGTATTAAAGGGGACCTATCATGCAAAATGCACTTTTGTACGTCTTTTATACATGAATATGTGTCCCCGGTGTTCCAGGGAACTCACCAAGTGTCAGAAAACACAACCCTCTCTATTTTCCTCCATACCCAAATCTCTAAAAAAGGGGCTGCAACGGATCTGATAAAAACTGATCCAGATTTGAACACTGTCCTGACGTCAGGACGGTGGCGCTACGGCTATTGGGCCAACTCCACCAATCAGGAGGAGACAGCCACGGCCATTGCCGTTCGAAAGCGCTGGAGACGCTGTAGTACATATGCCAGGCCTCTAGGTGGTGCTGTTCTCACAGAATCTGCCCTTGCAAAAACAGAGCTAAAAAATGTCAAATTGAGCAAAATGAGGCATGGCTAAAATGCATGATCTGTTTGGTATTTTGAAAAAAAAAAAGTATAAATATGCCTTATATAGGTATGGCCCTACACTATATTATTCAAATATAGCATGATAGGTCCACTTTAAGGTAGCAAAGCGCTAACCTACAAATTCGCTTTGGTATTCGTAGTTAGGTGAATACTTTCTGTACATTTGGAGATTTTGATAACTGTGATTCCCCGTTTCCTTGTTAAGTCACAAGATTGTCTTTTTTGTTTTTTTGTTGATTTTGGGCAGGTAAGTTTAGGGTTCTTTGTGTCTAGAAGCTTTGTTTGTTAGGTAGGCATTTCTCTCACATCCGAAAAAATTAAAACTGCAAATTAGATGTTTCCCTGACCGCTTGGGAGTGGGAAAAGTTGGAAGAGTGGGGAGTTCCCCTTTCATAGTATGTCTAGGTTGCATTGTGTTTTCTATCTGCCATCACCATAACAGTAGCCATTATAAAACGTCTATTTCTCTTTAAGGGAGACTTCATGTACTCTGCATTAAGGCCGGAATCGGCATATTGGCAATCATGCATCTGTTTATTCCTGCGTAATGTTCTAAGGATTCTGAATATCATGTCATCTAATAAATAATGAACATGTCAAGACTTTGCACGTGATATCGAGCTACATAAATCACTGAGTGTGAGGTTGTAATTAAATGATGCACTTCAGCGAGGGAACAGATTTCTATTCACTGATCAGTCACATCTGATATTCTGACACTCAATCAGGGGCGAAGCATCCAGGAACAGCCGTTAACACGTAATAAAAAGTAAAATCAAATATGCTAATGCTTAAAAACATCACGCGTCTTCTTCAGCGTCTTCATCATGACTCTGCAGGATTGTTTTCTGCAGACACAGAACAGTGACACAGCAACACCCCTCAGGCAAAGCATCACTAAATGATATTAATAAGAATAAAAAGAGAAGGAAGTCATCCACAGATAATTACACGACAGGATGGGTGACAGAGAGGAGAGGAAGCCTCGGGAGATTCACAACTCTGACGTCTTCATCATCATTTCATAAAAAAACCAAGCAAGAAATGAACTGATCAGA